TGGTGGCCATTCAATGTTGCCCCTTCTGAACCTATACTGTAGAGATGTTTGGTTAAGGTAGTCCCTTACTGCCAAAGCATAATGAGTAGATGCTCCATCTTGGAATTATGATTTGGATAAATTAGAGCTAAAACATGAAACAAATAGTGAAACAACTGTAAGCTTACTTTTGGCCCACCCTGTATATATACCAATGTATAAGTAAATTAACAAATGCAATGTATTAAAATGTTCTTAATAATATAATAATTCTTAGTAATAATAAATATTTGTAATAAAGTAAACTGAGTGCAGGATTGGAAAGTCTAGTTCTGACTTCATTATTCCTTATAATTGGCTTTGGAATACTTGTGTTTGTTTCATTAAAAGGTGAAAATTGATGTGTACAATACAGTAGTACTGATTTCCCTATACATTATGGTGCAGAATCTTGGACTCTGTACCAACAACACATCAATCAACTTGATGCCTTCCATGTGTGTTGCCTATATACCATCTGCAATAGAGAACTGGGTGATCGCATTAGAAACAGTAAAATTCTGATTAGATGCAACATGACAGGTATTGAATACATCCTAATGAAAATCCAATTCAGGTGGGCAGGACTTCTTTCTCATATGAGTGATAGCAAACAATTTCTCTTCTAACAAGGTCAATTGGAAATCCATTTTTGCATTTCAAAGACAAACTGAAGCAATGCAGCATCTGCTTTTCTTCCTGGGAAAACAAAGCATCAGAGAGAAGGAGCTGAGTGTCTGTCCTGTTTCTCATCTATACAAAGGTTTAAGCAAGGCCAACTTAAACATCAAGATCAAATGCATGCAAATATTAAAGCAAGATGACAGAATGCTGCTCCTCTCAGTGATAGCCTTACCTGCTAATGTGGCTTTGTCACATGCAGTAAAGCAGACCTTGCTATCCACTCACAGAAACATGTGGCAATTGGTCTTCAACCACTAGAGCGAAAAGGCTCAATCACATGTTCCATCTATCTAAAAGTTTGCAAAACACCTACAGGCCTCAGGAGACACATGATTGTCCATAGAAGTTGAACATATTTTATTTTACTGAGACCTCATTTGTTGTCCACAATGAGAGAGTTATATATATATATATAGATTAATAGTAGTACTTGTTTGGAAAACCTCGGATAGCTCAACTTGCAGATATGTCAGGACAAATTGGTACCCGAGGAAAAAATTGTAAATAAAGAAAGAACTAAAAACATCAGAACAAGACAAAACAAATCACCAAGTGCTAAAAATCCAAAGAAAAAAAAAAACAAACGAGTAGAAAGACTAAAATGTAGAGTGCTCAATATGCTAAGTAGATCTAAGGTAGGAGATTCTTAATAAGTATAAGCATAGAAAAGCCTGTTTATTAGAATAGAAGCTTTGGGCTGTGTTTTTTTTCCTCTTCTTCTGTCACATAGTTTTAATGCTTATTACTTTTTAATGGTTTTAACAATGAATACTGTTCCGTCATTACCTTTTTTAGCCAGTTTACCCTGAAGATCCATTTAGGTGAAACCTAGGTAGGTTTGCCTGGCTCCTTAGGATATAATCTGGTATGTATATATATATATGAATTTATTACTCTTATTTTTTGATTTATTAATTATTTGTTTTATGGTAGATATTGTTGGGGTGGTTTTAATTTCAAGGTCAATCAACAATTATTTGAATAGATTTATTGGTTAAGATAGATATCTAATATTTTCAAGATAATTTTTCCCCATTTATCATTGATGTGGTTCTGATTTTCATGTTTACAATTCATGTGTATATCTAGAGCCTTCTTTTTTATGGTTAGTATGAACTAAGTAGCATATTGTAGTAATTTGAATGTTTTTTTTAAATGTATTTAAGTTCTTTATCTAGATAGTTGAGGCTACATATTCTAAATATTTGGAGAATAAAAAATATTATTATTATTATTATACTGGTTTTAGTTTTACTGTCATGATGTGAGTAAAAATGTTTACAGTCATTCTTCTTTGTTGACTTTCAGTACACTTTGAATTCTAATTGATTATTGGATTTAATTAAAATGTCTAAAAAAAAAAAGGTAAAAGGTAGTGAATTATCATTTCCTGTTTTAAAGGTAAACACTTAATACTTGGTTCGACCAGGTTGAGAGTTAATATTTTTTACATCAATGTTTATTGGGTGAATTATTAAGACATCATCGATACATCTGAGATATGAGTTTTTTGGAAGGACATACTGAAACAGGCCAGATTCAAAAGATTCTAGAAATAAGCATACTAAACAGCTACTATGAGGGTTTCCCATAGGGAGTCCAAATTTTTGTTTATCATAATTGTTGCTGAATTTGAAATAAAATAGATTAATGCATAGTCTACATATACTGATAATAGTACAATAGGTAGAGGTAAAAAAGTTTTTGTTTGTTTTGTTTTTTTTTTATGTTTTTCTAATAAGTCAAGACATTTATTAATGGAAATATTAGTATTGAGAGAATTAATATCCGAACTAGCCATAAATTTGTTTTCATGTCTATATGTTCAATTTTTATTTAGTAAGATACCAAAATTCTTTAGATTTGCAGAATTGATAGTAGAGGGATTAGAATTTTTGTGATAGCAATTTTGTAAGTTGTGCCTTTTTTAGTATGTTGGCTGTTTTCCATTTGAGGAGATTGTCTTTACTATTTTCAAAAGTTTCCATTCCATGAGTAATATTTTCAAATAGAATTGCAATTCATTATTTTAGATCACTGGTGGATGATCTGATGAAAGAAATTTGGAAGATAAAAAAACAGAAAAAACAATAATATTGATAAGACTAATAATATTTATTGTATATTTGTAGGCCTTTTGACCAAATGGAAGAAGAATGAGAAAGATGTTTAAAATTGAAATTTTTGGATATACCCATGTCCTTTCTCAATGAGGCATGAAGTGGGAATTTTTTTTCTGCATTACTGAAGACATTTAATAGTTTTGGGCTAGTTGTTTGCCATAAGTTGTAGTGGGTTTGTAGACGGCTTTTACATGAAGATGGCATTACATAAAAAAGTCTATAACAGCTGGGTGTTGATTTCAGTGCCACACATCTACAGTCTCAGCTTTAAACAACCCACAAAGTGTTGATAAGCTATAAAAAAAGAAATATCTACACTCATATCCAAAAGTTAAGCATCAACAAATAGGAAATATTTTCTCAATTTTATCATTTGTTGCAAAAAATGTCATCATTTCAGAGGGATTGTCACAGTGTGTATCAAACTGTACATTACTGAATGATGAAATGACAAGTATGAATTAGTATTCCAAGTGTTCAAAAATTGGGGTTACAGAGTGCTATCAAAAGATATAAAAAAAGAAAGAGTGTTTGCAATTGCAGAGAAGAAAATGTCCATGAAAAATACTAAGACCCATTTCTGTGTGAATATCAGCTACTAAATCATTAGTAGTCAAATGCAAATCCAGATTGTAATCTCACTGTCAACCAGGATAACACTCCAATCCATAAAACCAGGACTATTCAGACAACTTTGTAGTCTCTCGGGATACCAACTATGGACTTACCAATAAAACTATCAAGATTTGAATGTTATTGAGTATTTATAGAGTATGATTAAACAAACACCTTTTCAAATTATCCAGAGGCATTTCATTAAGGCATCACAGACAAGTGGCACAAGATTCCTTTGGCTGACCTACAAAATTCAATGATATGTAAACAGAGCTGGATACAATTGCCATTAATTTGTTCTGATACAAATTGTTCTGTTTAAAGTGAACATTTGAATATAGATAAAATTGATGTCAAATTTTACATAAATATTCCAATTTTTACAATTTATTGTCCAATATACAAAGAATGTTAAGATCAAACACTTATCAGACTTATATGAAATGAAAGAAGAAAAATATTTCAGAATATAAATGCAAAAAAAAATTACAAAATACTCCATAATAATGAACATTTGGGAATAGTGTTTAACTTTTATTCATGATTGGAGATATCCCAAATTTGGAAATTTCTGTCTATATTTCTGAGATGAGGTATTGTAACTATTTACATTTTTCAGACAGTTCTCATCTTTATTGTCACATTCACAATATTTCGGCTGTTGTACACTCCAGCTTTCTTCAGATGATATTTTCTTGAATTTCGAAATGAACCCAAAATAGCCAATCTGTATGTTAGCGTTTCTGAAGATTGGTTTGATGACATTTGTGTAGACATTCTTCCTGTTTATTTCTTGAAATGGGCTGACATATAGCATTCACATTCCAGGGTCACTTACTAAAATCATAAAGAATCTTTTTCATTTTCTCCACCCACAGCTTGCAAATATCAAATGACAGAAATTGGCAAAAGTCAACTTTTTTTCCCTACAGTTTGTTGTTGCCCTGCCATTTATAGATAAGAATTCCAATGCAAAAGCCGGCATCTTTATTTTATGCCTGTGTGCATCACTCTACAATGTTTGGATTTTTATTTATAATTAATGAATTTCCTGCTTTCATTAAACAAAGTTTGACAAGTATAAACATTATGAATATTTATGGAAAAAGTTCTTTTAGTATAAATTTTTTTTTCTTAAAATATTAGTTTCTTTCATGTGATACTTTTTCCTTTTTAAAACTACTTATTTTACTTTGAAAATGTCTTGATTCTGATATTTACAGGTTGTCCTCTTGTATTTGCTAAATGACTAACTTGCTGTCAATACAGTTCCATAGTGGGACACCAAAATGTTGTTCTCATGCACTTACCTTTGTTAAACAACACAAACAAACATGTGCTTTTACAAAAAGCAACTTGTTTTCACTACAACAGTATTTGGACAATAGACAAAAACAAGAGATGAGTCAATGTCGTTGCCATTCATCGACACCTGAAGACTTTAACAAATTGATTTCACCAGCTAACAAGGATCGAGTGATAAGAAATTTGCTGTCTGTAAAACCTATTCGATCTCTTCCCTTAAAAAAGAACTACAGAAAAGCTGCAACTTTAATTCCAATGTGTACTGTCAATGGAGAATTGTCCATTCTCTACACATTGCGTTCTGTCCACTTACAATATGGCCGTGGAGAAATCAGGTAAGTTTCTTCTGTGAAAAATTGTTATGATTTATTAAAAAATTATTATTTATTTTTAACATATCTTTCTTCTTTCTTGGCTTGCTCACATATATTGGTAGAACAGTTTTAATATATATAAGTTTCATTAAAGGCAACTGACAAGATATTGTGAGTAAGCTTTTTATATGATTTTTCTTGTGTTTGTACAAGAAAAATTCTTGTGTTCATATAAGTGTTTTCTTTTCTGGACACAAAGTGTGTAAAAACTGTCCAAAAACCCCACTAGCAGAAACTTTTGCCACTTTTTGCAATTTTAAAATTGAATGTTCACTTGGATATAAAATAGTATAAAAAATTTCTTCAAGAGAGCAAATGAGACTTAATCCTCTTGTCCCCCCTTTCCTTAAAGAGCTCAACAATGGGAAACAAATACTAGTTAACAATGGTTTTCTTAACTAACTCATTGACCACTAGATTAGACCATTACATTCTTTCCAAAGTAACTAATAGCAATACTGAACATACAGATAAAAACAATATTAACCTCGTCTATAAAAGCCAAATACATGTTAAGACAAGACAAATTTTCTTTTAGAAATATCAAAGAAATACACAACCCCAGTCAACCAGAAGAAGAAAATTAAATTATCTATTACAAAAAATTAAAACAGCTAACCTATCATCAAAAATAACAACACACCTGCAAAATCAAAATTACATTGAACCAATATTATTTACAAGTTCAAATGCCCCTTAAGGAACTGTGTTTCTGATCAAACCAAACTCCATCGCAACATAATAGTAGAAAATACAAATATAATAGTCTCATCCACATGTAAAAAAAAAAAAAAATTAAAAATAATGGAAGCACTAATAATAAAAAAGGAAAAGTCAACACCCAATAATATTAACTATGAACACGGCCACTATGTGCTGTTTTTTGGAAAATAAAACATTCCTATAACTTCATACACATACATAAAAAACCCACACACTCAGTTAAAAATAATAAAAATTGTCCTTGATAATGGCTAAAAGAATAACCAAAAGCAGTCGCATATGAAGGAGTTTTAAACAGTTTTTACACACTTTGTGTTTAGAAAAGAAAGAATGAACACAAGAAAAATTAAATAAAAATTTTAATCACAGTAACATGTCATTTTTTTTTTTTAACAAAACTTGCATAAGAGGGATTGCTGCCCAAATAAACAATATATATATATAGATAGATAGATAGATATATATAATTCATTCTCTCTTTTAAATGCTATGTGACTTCAGAACATAGGTGATCATGACTCTCCACAGATTTTATTTCTTTATTATCCATTAATTGCTATGACATCTTTCCATTGACTTCTTTATAGTTTTGAATTCAGAGTTCTCTTTCTCCTTGACTAGGTGTTCCACCCAATGCTTGAGAGCCCCAGTCAACCTTGCTATTTAACCTATAGCTAAAGAAAGAAGGATATTAGGTACAGAGGTGAATGCTATAGACTAGGCCAGAGTGCCAATAAACATTATGTTTTAGAGTCATATTAAAATGTATATCATATTAGAGATAGTGTTGTCTCATATGTTCTGGCATTAGAAAATATTTTGTTTTCTTTTAGTTTTCCTGGTGGCATGATGGACGACTCTGACAAAACCCTTACAGAGACTGCCTTGCGAGAAACACATGAAGAGATTGGGCTTCCAACAAGTTCCATAGATGTTTGGGGTAGCATGCTTCCATTAACTGATAGTGTGTGTATCAGATCTTATACTCAGAAAAAACAATCATTTTCTTATGTCTCATTCTAACACACAGCAAAAATTCTCTACAAAAATGAACATTTTATAGCATATAAGATGCACTGAATTTAAATACTTAAAATCTATTCTTAAAAACATTATTATAAAAATATAGCAACTTCATAAAAGCACTCCTGACATTCCAAAGACTATTGTGCTAATCTTAAGTGCAACCCTCACCAAACTTGGTTATATTTGTTTCTCAATAAAGCCTATAAATTGGGCTTTTATTAAAGAAATGTGCCTTCTATGCTGTAAAATCTAACTGATATTACAAAGACTTGTTTTGTATTTATTGCCTATGATTTAATTTCAAAATTACATTTTTGATAAAGACATGTAATTGTAAAGTACTAATTCATTAAAGATTCAAGTAATTTCAGCTCTGTGATATCTTTATAACAATTGTGAAGAGATCGACAAGTTACATTTAGCACTGAAACCAATTTCCTATCAAGAATTTAAACTTTCTTTCTCTTTTCATTTTAAATTTTCATTTTTTATTTTGCATTATCTATACAGAAATTTAAAAAAATCTACCCCAGTATTTTAACAGCATGTAAACAGTCTTCAATCATATCTATGAGAAGAATTAGGATATTTAAGCCTCTCAGTTTGAACTTTAACAAGGCAAATGCAGATCAGTTTTGTTTTTGTTTTTTAGCAGGCCACAAGACAAATAACTCCTGTTATTAGTTACTGTGGTGAAATTGAACCATCATCGATGCAATTTAACAAAAATGAGGTAAAAATTATTTTTCTTATGCTAATTTTAAAATATTTACTATATAGAAAAAATAGACATTGTGATAAGAGGGCTGGATTAATTTTAAAACTTTGTATATTAACTCTACCTTGTTTAAATATTGGATTGTTCTTAGAAACAAAGTAATAATAAACAAATGAAAACATGGTAAAGATATTGAAAATCTGTTTTCACAAGGATGTGACAGAGTGGTTGGAACATGTGTTTTGACCATCAAAACCAGGTCAATTTGTCAAGATGACTACTTTAAAATATTGGCTGAGGGAGACAATCCCAACATGTAACAGTTACTGAAGTGTGCCTGAAAAACATATCTCAAGTTGAACGAAGCCTTGTAAATGAAATTGAGCAAATGAAACTGTTTAGATGTCAATGTTTGTGTTAGCACAAAGTCACAAGTCATCATGACTGAGGGTTTGAGCATACTGGCTTTGTTCAACTACTGATCCCACCAGATTATATGCTCTCTTTCAGAAACTGTAACTAAAGTATGCTCAGAATAGTTGATTCTGTGGATGGATGAGTGTGTGCACATAAAATTATTTTTTTTAAAATATGATTACTTCACTGCATAGGAATTACCATGTTTCAAAAACAGAAGCTAAAAACTTCCAATTCAATTATAGAAATCAAATTAAACCTAGTTCTGTTTCATCCTCAAGTGAATTTTGGAATAATAAATAGGACAAGAACTTGTAAAACCTGGGATAACCCATGCCCTTTATGCCTACATGAAAAACTACACATTATTAAGTTTCTAAAAAATGAAAATTTATTAAATCAAAGACATGAGATAATGGTTTTTTGCCGTCACCAACAAATATTCACCTTAAATAATTAACTTAAAAAATTTAAAATTTCAAAATCTATAAACAAGTTCAATTAAAGCAATAGGTTTAAAAACTTAACCCAATCATAAGCTAAAAAAAAAAAAAACCCTTTAAGAAGTCGTCAACAAAAAAAAAACAAATTGTAGTTCAATACAACGTATTCATATACAAACAACCCTTTTTGAAAAAGAGAAAAAAAATTTTTATGTATACGAATACAATTTTAACGGCATAACAAAAGTGGCAAAAACTTTGTTGTTGAAAAAAAACAGACAATATTCATTGAACAGATGTCATCATTCATTTAAAGGCACCCCAACCCTACTTTGATTTAACCTCTTTTTGAAAGTAACTAATATGTTGATACAATAGTTGTCAATGAAAATGAATACCCTACCATCCCTTATTAAAATGATTAGTTTTATTCATTTCCATAGAAACTAATATTACAAATGTATATGCTTATAAAGCTTCATAAATTTCAAAATTAGTTATTCCAAAATTTGCTTGAGGATGAAACAGAATTAAGTACTTTAATTTAATTTCTATAATTGAATTGGAAGTTTTTAGCTTCTGTTTTTGAAACATGGTAATTCCTATGTAACAAAGGAATCAGATTTTTCAAAAAATAATTATAATATAGGCTCTACTTGTGTATCGAGCACTGTTTTTCAAAAATAAAAACAAAAATACTAAACAACTTTGGATTATTAACCTAACGGTTCTTTCCTATTTTTCTATATATTTGCACACACACACACACATTATATATATATTACACACACACCGTATATACTCAAGTGTCATGCAACATTTGAAGACCTAATTTTGAAGCTAATTTTAAGGTGGTCATATCATACATGAGATATAAAATCAGTGTATGTACCATATATCCATTTACTGTAGTCAAAAAGTACAGATGTATTTAAAATAAACATGATTTTGATAAAACTGATGTTTTACTTAACTGTATAGAATAATAATGCATGTAATATTCACATATTAGTATCATATTATAAAATACAAATGTAGCGAATATGCATCTTTTCCATTATTTACATTTATAAGATGTTTAGCTGTTTCTTGAAGCATAGTGTTACTAACAATACATTTATCATTCTCTTTTTTTTTTTTAACTAGAAGATGGGATAAAGAGATAGAGGAAAAGAGGTTAGTCTACTGAAATTTGGTCTCTTAAAAAAGGAATTTGCATGATATAAAAGATAAAATCATTTTTTATAAGTGAAAATTTTTGGGGTTGTACAAAACGCAAGATCACACATTATATAAGTGTATACAGTATATACATAACATTAACTGCCAACCACAGGTTATCACATGGTTGGCATTTTCTGATAAATTTCCATCTTCCAAAAACATATTTATTCAGTGATACTTTTAGTGTTAAAAAATGTTAAGACTTCAATTGAAACTATAAATAAACTAATAAAAATTTTTTATTACCTGTTGACTCTTATAAAGTTGGTGTTTGAAATCAGGTTTTGTAATTGATCTCAAGGAGTTGACATGTTAAAGAATTATATTTGATTTCTCTTCCATGTGTTCAGATTTCAAATCCTGCAAGAAATCTTCAATCTTTCTAGTAACTCTTAAATCCTACCATGTTTAATTGAAAACAAATGAAAATAAGCTTACAAATATGACTTTTTGATATTCTACACTTTCTTTACATGATAAAGATATTTTTCTCTTGTTTTAACATCTTGTGTGTATGTTCTAATATCATATCTTTTCATTTTTGACTAGGTCTCTCTTGTTTTCACACGGACTATAGCCCAGTTGTGCCAACCTTACCTACAAGGTACTACTCAGTTTCGTACTGGCTATACTCTACCCATCTATCTTGGTAAACCCCAACGTATTTGGGGATTGACAGCCCTGACTACACATCAATTCCTCTCTTTACTTGCACCTGAAAACTATAAATTTAAATTACAACACCAGCGTCCTCTATTAGGAACAAAAGCAAAAGAATGACTGCTGCTGAAAATTTAGTTTCTTTTTTTTTTATATAACACTTAAAATTTTTTACTGAAAAGAAAATAATAATAATAATCAACAATGTCTTTACTTGTCTCTTACTTCTTATTTGTGTATTTCTACTTTTTTCTTGTAATCTGAGAACAACTGTTGAATGAAGATATTCCTTTTCAGTGCCTCCTTTTTTTTTTTTTTTTTTTTTTAAGCATTTCACCCCAAGCAAGGCGGGAAGCCACTAGGATACAAGGGGTTACAGAAAATTTAAAGCAAGATCAGATAGGAGTGATAGAAGAAAGGATGAGGAGGAGGGTAGGGGATAGATCAAGGCAACTGGAGATGTCGATTGACATTACACTTGAATATCTTCCTAACGTATGTTTCTTGGTTTTGTCTTCCAAGTGAAAGCACTTCAATTTGATGCAAAAACATGAATATCATAATCTTAGGAAAATTTATATGCTTAAAAAAATGTAGCAAACTTTCTAAAAATTATATGTCAATGCAGATCAATCGAGAAAAGTTAAAAGTAAAATGTTAATCTAGATTCCTTTAACTGGCTGTGTAACAATGCACTGACAAAGTGGCTGGTGTATTTATTTTATTACTGTAAAAAAAAAAACTATGCTATTTATAAGTAAAACTTTTTGATATCCAAATTTATGATACAAACTTTTTGTCTGTAAGAAATTCAATTTCTTTTACTTTAAGGTAGTTAGACTTTAACCTTTAGTAATCTGATATGTTCAGTGCAATTGAGTTCCTAAATTTGTTTAAATTTACATGTCACCATTTCTTTTGCATCTTAAACACTTCTTTTTATTCTATTATACTATGTTCCTTGTTAGAAAGTTTATACATATACAACTAAACACCAAACTTTAAATGTTAAATTTCAAATCCAGGCAGAAATCATTTTGGATAGATATATCACCATCCATCCTATAGGAAAATTATCCATTCAAAATGTCCTGTACACAGACAGAGAAGTTAGTCAAACTTGATAAAGGTGAGTTTTGTGATTCCGAATAGATATTTGACTAGAAACAATGCCATCACATCTTCAGAGGATCATTTTGATTTGTCAACCTCCTAATATGATCAAAATACAAGTGATAGACATTTTTCATCTGAGTAAAAGTGACATAAACTGCAGTAAGATTTCCAGTCAATCAGAAAATATAACCAATTAACTTTTATTGAGTTTCTGTTTGATGCAAAAATAATTGACTTCAAAAGAATTTCCCTTTTTTTCTTTTTTGCCAACCAACTGGTAAGGTTTTGAGTAGTAGTTGTCATAAATGATAATAGGAGTCATTGATTGGTATTGCTTAAAATTTATAACCTTTTATTGATACTCATGAATTTTGTTCAGTTGTTTTATCTGAATTACATGGCTACTGTAATTTGCTTTATCATTTAACAACTTTTCATCTGTCTTGTTCAGCTATGTTATTGTAGAGAGATTAGTTTGGATAATAATTTGTTCATTGAATTGAGGAAGCCAATTGAGGATTAAAGTAAAAATGGCTGAAATCTAAAATGGTGATATTTGATCATAGAAAAAAATATGAAACAAGGCATTTCTTGAAAAACTGTATGAAATACTTGGACAGTAAAAAAAAAGATATAGCAAGTTTTTGAATGACTTAGATATGTTATTTGACTCTTTGAGCTTTTTAATTGATATACAAATAAACTGACAATTATTTTACAAGCATAAAAGCAAAAATATTAAAGCAAAATTTTAAAAAGCAAAAATAAATAAACAAACAACAAAATCCCTTGATTAAACAATTGTCTTTAGTGTCAGTCAATTTTAAGCTGATTTTCATCAGGAATTTTTATTTTCCAAAAGTTCCATTTAGTGGTAAAAAAACTAAACATTTTTCTTCCTTGTCTTTCCACTAAATGAAACTATTAGTTATTTCAACCACCCATTCCCATCAGTTAAAGGCATAATCAAGTGATGTTAGTTTAGTTACAAATATTAACAAGTTATTTTTTTTAATATAAATTTTATTCTCAGAATTTCTTTTCACACATATACAAAATTTGAAAGAAAGAAGAGATAAGTAAAAATTAGAAAATAAATATTGAAGTAATTCTCCTTTTAAAGAAAAAAAGTTTTCCTTTCCAAAGAGAAAATACAAAATACACTTTAGGTCAAGAGATTTTGAATTGCAGCATTAAAAAAAAAAGGGAAAAAAAGCCACATGCTTCTGCTTGGAATCATTTTAAAAAGACAAATTTTAATCAAGTCTTAATCAAGCCGAGCAGCCGCCAAACTGCAAACTTTGCTTTTAAATGAGATTGCTACACTTTTTTTCTTTAATTATTTTTCCAAAAAAGTTTACCTGATTGATATTTGATTGTGTCTTGTCTAAACAAGAAAAACACTTTTTCTGGACCAGGTGAAGTAGTAAAGATTATTTTTAATCTCCTTCGAACAACACCTCTCCTTCAGAATTTGATTCATTTTACCCTCAGACATTTCTCCTATTTTATTGGAATAGGAAAGATATTTTTGATTTTCTTATAAAGATTTTGTTCATAATAATAAATTATAACTTAAATTTATTTTTTTGTAATAAAGAAAAATATGTCCAAGCTTGACATTGGTCATGTCATTATACCAGTATGGCTTAATAAAAATGCTTTACATTCTCTTCATCCAATTGATATTTGTGTCTAATTAAACTTAGACAAAGCATTAGTTAAACTTTCTCATTAAATATTAAGTAAGGCTTAATATTTGAACTCTGGTTCATCTTAACAGAAGATGAATGTCCACAACTTTATATGGTTTACAAAAGCACAAAAATTCAATTTCACATATTTACAAATGACAATGCATCAATAACCTATTTCATTTAAAAAATAAAACATATATGCTGGTTAAAGATATTATTTTCAAAAACTCTACATTATTTTGAACTTCTAGTTTTATAGTCATCATTTCTGCTCTATTAACTTCAAACCTATTTTACATCATAATTTTATCAATTTGAAAATATATTTTAATATATAATAAATATGCCTATTTCTTCACAAGTGCATCACTAACTTATCATAATGAAAATATAACAAAAACAGTATCTTTTTACCATTTGTAATACAAACTCAGATGCATTTACATATTTTAAATACATTTACTATTAATGTATCAAATATTTAATGCATATAAAATATGAAAACCTGCAAAATTGATCATGAAAAAGTTAATAACCAATGAAATAATAATTGATAACAAAACTTATTAAAATTGTAGACCAATATCAAAAAGAATGTTAATACTTTATAAGCCAAAGAAAATTCATCTTGTTTTCTTAAATCATTTTGCATTGATTTATGATAAAAAGATTACTGACAGAAACAAATTAATACCCTGAAGAAAAATGCTATTTAAATATTTCACAGAACTCATCTTAGGTACAAGTGGCCAAGCTTATATAATAAAGTAAAAGCAACATTTATACAGCTTCAAGCAAAATTGATCATCCAATTACTAAAGTTAGTCATAATAAAGGCATAAAAACTTACATTAGTTGATACTAATTTAACAGTATGGCATGCTAACAAGAGAAAGAAATGTTTTTGGATGGGGTCTATTTTTGGAACTTTGATAAGAATTTTACACCAAAGTTTATAAGTGCTTTCTCCCTGGCCAGATAGTCTAGGTGTAAGAATGGAAACATGGTGGTTGTATTTTTCATGTTACTTTAAGAAGGGCAGTTATTAAGGAGTGCATGCATACACAAAATAGCACACCTTAATAATTGTCCTGTTACAATGTACAATTACCTCAGATAAAAAACAGTATCACCATATGTAAAATTCTAAAATCAAATTCAAAGACAAAGTCCAAATACACTCCTTCCTTAAAGTAAAATTTGGATTTAATCTATCGATGATATTCACTTCTAGCTCTTATATCTGGGGTCTGCTCTAACAATATCTATGCACACTGACTGCAGATATTCTCAATAAACAGAACCCATGTAGCAGCATTTTTAAAGTTAAATGCTGTACAAAGTTGTTTGTGATTAAAGTTTTAGTACCAATTCATTATGAATTTGAAAATGCTCACATTGGAGTAACTTCTGGTACCCTAAATGTATCGAAGTAGTTCTCGAAAAGTTCAAATAAGAAAATCAACATTTAGAGATGCCAGAAATAAGATCTTGGAAACTATACTCCAATGTTGCTGGTGTTTTTGTTTTTTTTTTTACCAAAGCAACCTTTTGAAATTATTTAACTCCAGGTTTACAGTTCAGTTGTCTTCAGATAATGATTTAACTGAATTTTATACAAAAAGAAATGTCTGATGAAATCAAGTGGAATTGATATAACATTGTCTCTATTATTTAGTATGGTAATAGTTTTAACAAGTCTTATTTTTAAATATTTTAATAAATCTTCTATATTTCTTCTGGATTTAATGTCTGATGATTGTAATAAACAAAATGGCTATCAAAGATGAAGCATGATGTTGTTTAACAAAGAAGTACAAATTATCAACACTTATTGGCTTGTAAATTTATTAAATTTCCTTTCTTAAGAATTAGCATAAAAATTGAAAAAAGGTACCAAAATTTTAAATTTTCATGAAACACAATCAAACAAGTGTAGAATTTAATGAGTACAGCTAGCAAAATATGCAGAAATGATAAATTGTGCTGACATTTTTACAGGTAAACTAATATGACAAAGATCAGTTTTTAGTAAGAATTAAAATTGTGATCATAAGGAAAATTTTTGAGTCAAAATTATTTGCAAGGAAATTATTAGATCTTATGATAATTCTATTTTTAATATATCAATAAAGAAAAGTGTTCAGAATAAAAGGAAAGCTGCTGATATTCTCTTTATTGTTTTAATACATCCTGTCAGACCCAATAGACCTAGCAAAAAATGGTTAAATTGAAGAAGCTAATTTTGTTGAGCTACCATGCATAAAAATATTCAAACCCTCATATTTAGAAATCCATTAAAGCTGCTAATTGCTTACCATTACTCATGACAATGCCTTTATTCTACTCCCATAAGAGCCATAATGTTGGATAAACAAAGTAGATGAAACATCAAAATTCATTGAAAGTTTTTCCAATACTTGCCAATCATTTTCAACCAGTAAACACATTCATGTTAAATTTTATATTATCACTGCCCATAAAGGTTCAAGAATTGCTGTGGTACAACATCCTTCAGATTCTACTTATTGATTCTATTGAGAAGGTAAGGAACAAGAACTTCTCTAAAGTTTGATTTTACAAATGCATTAAAAATTTGATGGTTTTATTCTTTCCAGAATTGGTTGAGCCAAGTAATTATCAACCTGTGGTCCAATGCTCAAGTTTTACTCATTTGTCAGTAACTTAGCTAAACCACACATTATCTGTCATCATAGTATTTGCAGAAAAAGCAAAGCAAAAGCTGACTTTAATTTTTTTTCAGAAGCTGACAACCAGCTGCAGAACTGAAATTCGCCTAAAAAAAATAAAAAAAAATAAAAACCAAACCAATGCTTATTCCTGTAGAAAAAGGAAATAACTTGTGTGCTCATTTCATTCTTATTTTGTTTTTTGGGAATTTTACTTAAACATTTTTTAGCATTTTAAGATATATTTGATTACAAATTACATTAAACACATTTGTTTAAAAAAAAAACAGTTCATGATTTCAGCTTAATGGTTAAAAATGCATAGAAAAAGTTACTAAATGAAAATCAAGAGCTAAAATTCTTTGTTTCTGATTGCATAAGTGTGACAGAAGCATTCAGTATCCTAGGAATATCAGAATAATTAGCAGTTCAACATGATTAAAAAAAAAATTTCTTAACATGTACTTAAAAAAAAGAAAAAAAATGATTCTCTTGTGTGCTTAAAATTAATTAGAATTGAATTTCTAAAAGGAAGATTTGAGACAACAAAAATCTGGCACTCATGACCAAAGAAAATAAATGAATAAAAAACGTTTCAAAATTTACCAAAATGACAGCACAAACTGATATTTTATGTTACTTTTAATTCAATAAAATTAGATTAGGTAAAATTATCTTAAATATGAAGAGAGATTTCAAAAGTTAGCATTTTTATATTAAAGTAATTTTAAAAAATTAAACCTTTCAGCCTAATAGAGTTTTCTGAAAATATGTGTATAAAAAAAATAAATAAGATTATTGAACATATCTAAAATAATTACTCAATATTCCCAGCTTGTCTTGTCTCCAAAGCTCAAAAATTGTTATTAAACATTTCTGCTATTGACAAGTGGTTTCAAATTCCTGGATTCTCAAAGTCAAATAACTAAAGGTCATTTAACTTGCCTTAAATACTAATATGATTATTTTATAATTTAGTACTTTTATTATTGGTAGGAACATTATAAGATTCATTTTTTTTCATTTAAATGTTATTTTTTTTTAAACAGTGTATACTCATTTACTATCAAATGATAGAGCTTAAGCAAATTCAAAAAATATTCTGTGCTAGATTACATACCAAAAGATAACAGAAAAACTTCATTAACAAAATAAAGCCTAAATTAAGGTTTCAGTAATGGTTTCCTATTTATTCTAAAAGAATTTAAGATGTGATTTTTTTTTCAACTGCAAGAGACAGAATCAAACCTGAATTGCCATCCAGAAGAATAATGTAGGCTACAATTAAGTTTTAATAAAGCTTCATTAAATGAAGTAGTCTTTAGTTGGTTAGAAATTTGAGAATAATTAAGAGCCTACAATCAGAAGAAAATTATAAATATTAAATAACAAAACAATAAAAACTATTAAACAACAATTACTTTAAACAAAATAAAAATATGGAATAAGAAAAGAAAATCCTTGATTATGTAATAAATAAATAGAACCATATAAAGACAAGCCATTTTCTATCTCCCAAATTTACAATCACTTTTATAGTTTATGCTAAGAAATTGTAAGATTTTCTTATTCATTATGAATAGCTGGATTTCTTTTTTTAAATTTCTTCATCTTATTTTCTGATAGTAGTCATTTAACATTTAAACTGTGTGCTATATAAATATATAAACACACACACACACGCATATATATATGTGTTGTGAGATTTTTTTTTTTTTGGTAGAATTTGAGACATTACAAACTTGCATATATAATACAATAATAATTATAGCCTATATGAAAGTTGAGATTAGAATTTACTATAAAAACTATATTACTCTAAATTGAAAGGAAAAATATGTCCATGAACCCCAAAACAGAAAAATAAATTACACTTAATATTCATTTCTTTTTTAAAAAAAAACAAAAAAATATTGGATTTGTAATAATCGAGACAAAATTCCTAGATTAATTCATATCTTATATGCAAAAGGATTTTAACATTTTTCAAAATCATTTATCATTTTGATGATCTGCATAACATGTAGAGGTTTCTAAATCTTATGCTCATAAATTAACAAATTCATAAAATAAAATACTGAAAAGATATAAGAAAATTGTGGACTTTGAAATTTGGATTTGAGAAAATCAACAACCTTTCTTTGTAGCCAATGATTTGTTTGCTTTTTATTTCTATGTTTTAAACTTTTAATATTCCATCATAGAATATTAATACACTCAGGAATAGTTAGCAGTAAAGATTACAGAAGAAAATCATCTTACCACTTCAGTGAGTGATTGTGAAGAGAGAAGCAAAAACTTGGAAGTTAAATTTGGATTATTTTACAACCCCTTTAATGCATCTTTTTTTTCTTCTGGCAATATATATATATATATATATATATATATATATATATATATAATCTCGATGGAACCAAACTTTTATTTAAAGAGCAATTTGTAAATATTAAAATAGCTAAAAGAAAAAAAAACACATGTAAATTACTGCTGTCTATATGACAATTTTGCAGGGTTTATTTGATTCCTTTTTTGTTCTTTACTAGAATAAGTCTAATAATGTATCATTTTGGTGATGTTTCTTCTGTTAATTTTCTTTTCATTCATTCTTCATTTATTCTTTCATTCATTCATAATGTTTCAAATATCACATTTATACCACCGCAAGTGGCACTAATTATTCCTTCATTTTATAGACAAGGGCAAGTCCATTCAGTGGTCAGTTTGGAATTTAGTGACCACTTGCTTGACCCAGCCCTTAGTATTAACTGGCTCACAGTTCAACCGGTCAAGGCTTCCCAGGGAATGGGAACACTTGCCCAGATTACGTATGAGAGGTACACTGGCTGTAGAGTGGTACGGACAACGAGAGTCATCAATTGATGTAGCTCCACTGGTCAAAATTTTGTTTATTTCCCGTACAGATATTTGTGACACTTCCATGACTTCCTCTTCATAGCTGCGTCTGTTGCTTTTGTAGCGCGCATGTTCCTGTAGGCTGCGTAGTCGCTGCCGAATCATTTGGCTTGGTTCTCGCTTTTTGGCACCAGACATCTTTGGCTGCATGGCAAACTTATGCTTCTCTTCCAAATATTGGACATATTCTTTAATGGTTGCTTTGGGAGGCAATGGACATTCTACAATTGGACTAGGCTCTATATCCATATCACAGTAAATAGCAGAGTCACGAAAAAGCTCCATTTCTGCAGACTGCTGTTCACAAATACTGTCCACAGAGATAAAGGAACCTTCGGATGTACTCAATCGACTGTTGCTGTTGGTGTCTCCATCTTCATGTAAATTATCAGTTGTTTCACTCTGAATGGAGAATGCAGAATCTGAAGGTTGTAGGCTTGTTTTCTGGCAAAGGCTTTTGTCTAAATGCTGACACTTGCCAAAGTTTTCATGAGATCCAGTCAGTTTCTTATGGAAAACATCATCACTAGAAGAAGAAATACAATGGTTGATGCATCTTACAGATAAAGGATGAGAGTTGCGATTGTTTGGGCTCCACACAAGCTCATCTGATGGAGAGGTTGATGGCACACCTTCAAACAAAGAAGATAGACTGACATTATGGTCTAGCTTCAAGCTTTGATGCCGGATTCGCAATGCTGACTTAACTTCCTTATGACAATTTTGAGGAGCTGAATTGCGACGGTCAGTGGATCTGCTAACTCGAGGTGGGCTAAGAGTGTTACTGGTAAGAACTTTGGAAGACATAGTTGGACTGCTTGGAGTGGACTTGCTAACAATACGTGTTAAGGAAGGCATTGAATGGGAAGAGAACTGGCACTTATTTGGAGGAAGTTCCAAGGAAGATCCATGACTTTTAACTGCTGTCTCTTCACTTTCAGGAGAAGAATTGGCATGGCACAGTTGGTCACTGGGTACTGAGAAAAGGTCAGTTTTATCTGGTGTCATGTGATTGTTTAATTCTGTTGAAGGCAGGTCCTCATTTGTATGAGTCATTGGACAGGATTTTGAGAGTGCTGGATTTGAGACTGAACAGTTTGAAGTTTTTGTTGGAGTGGAAAAAGTAGGCAGTAACAAAGGGGTACTAACACTTCGTTCTGGAGTTGAATTAGGAGAACTTGATACACTATAAGATTTAGCAGGAGAATGGTACTGTGGGTAAGTTTCAATATTGTCCCAAGTTGAGGAAAGGTGAAAAGGAGAAGATGGCATACTGCTGCTTTTTTGGGAAAAGTCATGCACAGACACCAAAGGATTAACTCTGACAGGAGAGGGTAAAGGAGATGAAGAAGTGCTGGTGATCTGTGGTGGCGAGGAGCATGAAAAGGAGAAAGGAATATTGTTCTTTGAAGCATTCAGTGTAGGAGATGAGACACTACCTCCAGAAACTGGAGAATTTAATGAAGTAGATAGACTCTCAGTTGTAGATACACAAGGATAATGTAAGAAGGATGATGAATCATCATCCTTAGCTAGTGGTGAACAAGGAACTGAAGCAGATGTTTCAATCTTTTTTTTATATGCAGAGGGTGGGGGCAAAGTGAAAACAGGTGGCGTTGGACTCTTAGTAATGTTAGCCTTCCAACCAGCCACTTTAGCTGGAAAGCTCTGGATCTGAGAAACAAGGCTTTCTGTTGATCCAAGATTACTCTCATAGCTACTTTGTGAAGAATTAGACAAAAGGGATGTCTGAGAAGCATGTCTGCTGAGACTCTGAGGCAGAGAATTTTCACTCTCAATATCCGATTGTTCAGGTAATTTTGTGGGAAACTTTGCCAATGTAGTTGACTTCCCTTCAGTTCGCATATAGTTCTCCATCTCTTCAACCATACGCTCACTTTCTTTGATAGCTGCTATTGAAGATGCAGGGTGTTCATCCTTATCAGGTGTGACTCGTTTTGATGGAGGTGTAGAGTATGAACGCATAAAAGACGGCTTTGCAGACTTACCACAAAAAGTAAAAGATTTATGGAGTAAACCTTTGGGGATGTCTGTAGGTGAGGTTGCACCACGAGGAAGAGTTACATAGGAAGGAACTTCTTGATATGCAGTTTGCCTCTCTTTTGAGGTAGTCTGCATAAGTGATTGGATTGGGGTTATATATTTGTTGGCAGGTAGCTGATTTCGATTCAAATAAACTAGCCAATCAAGGCTCTCACGAGACATATTCTTGTAATTAGGACTCTCTAGTTGGGATCTTCGAAGAGACTGTGAGCTTGAAACTTCATTCTGGCTAACACTTTGATGCAACTCCGATTTTCTTACCCAAGGATCTTCATATGAAACTGGTGGATCAGAGGAACGACGAGTTTTTGGTTCAGATCCATGATAATATTTAAAGGTAATACCAGGCAAAAGACCAGCCATCTTTGCCTGACGAAGAAGGGGTAAGACATTCTTGAAGGATTTTTTGGGTTTTGTTGATGGTGGAGCAGACAATTTACTCTGAACTTCAGATTTTCCACTGCTATTATTCTTTTTCTGTTGGTTATCACCTGAATTCAAAGAATTTGATTGGCCATTAGGAACCAATGACTGGGTTGACAATGATGCATCTCCTGAAGGGTCCATGTTAATAATAACTGGAGTTTTTTCATTATTCAATGAAGGCATACTGGCATATTTTGTAGGCACAGTGACAGAACTTGAATCTTCATTGGAAGTTGTCTCTGATGGTGCATTTTTTGGTCTATGCAGTCGGGCAGGGGTGCTCTGCACACTACCACAACTGCTACCTGAGCAGGACACAGATGAAGCATTTACATCTGGGATATGCTGAGGATTATCAGAGATGGCATTACGAAAACTGAGAGCACGTTTGTATGAGCTACTGTTCTTTCCAGGGAGTGATTCTGTTTTGTGTTTCTCAATATCATAACTAGATTCAGAACAAACTTCTGATTCGACTTCAGGACCAGCTTCAGGCTCAGGACTAGGGTAAAGTGGACCCCCACGTCTTCGGTTTATCAATGTTCCAGTCTGGGGAAAAAAAAGAAAAAAAGAAGAATATATCCTGTTATAAAGTGAATGTCATCAATATCTGAATTTTATTTTCAGTAGACTGGTTCAAACATTTTTGGCACTTCATTCTGATTATAATAAACATTGCAACAAAAAGAAGAGAAGCAGACACATATATTTAAATGTACTTATTATCATAAATCAGACAAAAATTATGCAATGTAAAATACAAATTCTAATAAATTCTTTAAAAATGTTATTAAATATGTTGCTAAAATTTACCTTGAACCAATCAGTTAAATATTGAAAACAGATTATTAAAAAGAGTTATTCATAAAATTAAATGTATTTTAATATGGATATCAAATATTTTACTGAATTAATTATTCATTTGTAGTTCAACTTTAAAGACTAAATTATTTTTGAAAAAATTCTCTGAAAAAGCAAAAAGTGTTTAAAACACTGAATCTATACATGACAATGACAGAATAAATCAAGAATTTAATGAACAATTGTAAACAATACAAACTTGGAAAACCTTAAAAACTGCTTACAAATTGGTGCAACTAACTGGGGAGAATTTATGAAAGTTCATGAATAAAATTTAGAATTTTAGCATTGCAACATTTTATTTTACTGAGAAGAATATTTAAAATAATTCTTTTGCAAGTAAAGCAAGCAGTATCTGAACTGTAAAATGCAACATTTAAAACATTTCTTTCTGATTATAAATTTCAAATCAAATTCTAAATGATGCACAAGCAAAGAGATTTATGAAAATGTTTTTAACCATCATTCCACTAACATGCATTTTTTTAAAATTTAGACATTAGGAAAAGATATTTAGAGTGTGAGTAGTACTGTCTAATTAAACACTTCATACTTTCTTTATAGCTGTAATGAGAGAAAGTTTTATTTAAATGTATGTTACAGCATTAATTATATAAATTAAAAAAAAAAGAGACAGTGTAATATGAAAAGAGGAAATGATATTTTCAGATACAAATAATTGTATTATGTAGATGTATTTTTTACTTCTGAGTAAATATGGACATGCAGACAAGCATGAGGCAATTCTAATTTCCTGGATTATTCCCCTTGCATCCTAAATTAAAGGGTGTTTTTCAGCACACACACATCATTATCAAATGTGACACAAGGATTATTTTATTTAAAGGATCAGATTACAGATCAGCAGTCTCACATAAGAAGAAAGTGACTAAATATGAATGGAATATCTGTGCACTATGAAAAGTGTTAGGCACTGTCACCACCTGAAGAAGCATGTACAGTGCTGAAACTTGATTGCATTTATATAACAGTTTATGTTTTTATTATAATAATAAATATTATATATATGCTTTTTCTGCATTTCATAAATGCCATTTTAACATATGACAGGACTTGAGATGCTTTTTAAAGAAACAAATGAAACTCAGAAAAGTTTTCTTGTACAAAATTAGTTTCCTATTAGAATATGTATAATCTAATATTCTTACCTGACATAGTAAATAAGGCATTATGTTTAAGAGCAATTATTATATGTAAATTATGCTTAAGACCATTATATGTAAATTAGAATCTTAGAAATAAGTAATTGAAAGATTGTTTTTAGAAACTGAGATTTGGATTTAACTGAACTTTCTTGTGCATCTAAGACAAAGAAACTTATTTCTGGCCCTAGGGAGGAAAAACATGTCTCCTTGTTAAAGGGATAGCATCTTCATTCCATGAGAGAAATTTTACATTTCTTTCTACAGTAAGCTACAACTATACAAAGTTGTGTCAAAATGTCCTGTGCACTGAACATACTCACAATCCGAGAAAAACCTGGATCAGACTGCAAGTTAGAAAATAAGAATCATAATAACCTTCCTTGACTTTAAGAAATTTTGTGGTAGCTGCAGAATGTGGTAATAACTTCTTGTTCTGTTTTTGATAAATCAAGATTTTTATTTTTATGACAAAATTAAATTAGCATGCATGGAATTATATAAGCAATCACGTGCAGCCATACAAGCATTGCATCTAAGATTTGTACATAACACACATTTAGATACTGATATACCTATACTTGCACACAACACACATACTCAGATATTTTTATATATGAGTATGCTAAACTGAATTCATATACTAAAAGTAAAAATTTAAAATATAACTCTGATATAAATTAAATTTGAAGATAAATAGGACTGCTTTTAATATTTTCATTTCATGCTTAATCAAATATTCTTTCCAAAGACTACAGAAAAAAAGAGAGGCTTGTGATGTGAAAGTTTTCTTAAAGCAAAGGTCCAGATTTAAATTCTAGCAGACAGTATCAAGTAAATGGAAAGACAAGATAGTCAGAGCAAAAAGTAAAGAATTCATGCAAATCTGTTAGTCAAAGAATTGATTTTGCATGGAAGAACTGATTGTCTTGCCTTCTCATCATCAACTGAATCTGCTGCTTCATTATCAAACCATTGTTTGTTTTCACTAGGAAATATCTGTGAAGAAAAGGAAAATAAAAAAGAAAATATGAACATTTAATGATGTCTATTTATAGGGATTCACCAAGACAGATTCTTTGGATTCTGGTCTGTAAATTAATGAAATTTTATCCCAAAGAATTCAGCTGTGTCCTGATAATTATCTCATACAATAGAATATGAAAGAGAGAGACTTAGGCACACACACATGTATATATGTGATTCTGCTTATTCTCAATGATATCTAAACAAATTTTAATCAAATCTACAAAATTCAAACATTTTAAGAAAGACACACATTATCATAGAAATTAATAGCCATTACAAGAATATCAGCTACACTACCTTAATTAAAATGTTTAATAACCAATATTTTTTTAAATATATCAAATGTTGAGAAAACAGGAGATCATTGACCATTGGAAGATTTTAAGAAATGGTCATTTGCATCATCTCTACAATATTGATCATTTCTTGCAAGTATAGATCTGCTAATGAGCTCTGTTACCTCCCTTTGAAATTAAGTGTCATAATTACTCACAAAATCTGTTGTTCTAAATAAGGTCATGTTATCAATAAAAGACAACAAGAACATCAATTAACAATTGTGCATCTATATTGCTTTTAGGGAAACAGGCTAACATTGGATTTGAAAAAAATTACACCACCAAGTCATATATATATATATATATATATATATATATATATACGAAAATATGAAATATATATATATATGAAAATTTCTCCAATTTAATCAGTAGAGAAGACAATATTTATGAATAAAAATGACAATAGGAAAACTGGTAATTGCTGACGCGTTTCATCCAATGTGGACTTTATCAAAGCAAAATACGAAAATGAAATTAAATGAACAAAGTAACTAATAAAAACAAAAAAAGAATGTACCTAGCAACTGGAATGTAGAGAAACGCTATTTTCATATTTTTAACTGAAAAATAACGTCAGTGATTGTCACGTGTGGAGAATATGAAAATGGTTGAATACATCAACACAGATATAATATATCTGTGTTCATGTATTCAACCATTTTCTTTTGATTTTATGAATCTGTTGTGTATATTTGTTTGTAAGAGCATTAATTTTGTTAAGAAAGGTGAAATAGGGAAAAAGCCTGGGCCAAGATTAATATTTGGGTAATTTTCTATGGCGGCACTCTCCAGAATTTTCCTTCTGAGTGAGTTATTTTCTTTTTTTATGAGTGTAGCATTTTTAAAATCAAAATTATGGTTGAATTTATTTCTATGTATGACTATTGCATTAGCTAAGTTGTTTTTCGTGAGGTCTCTTTTGTGCTCATAAATGCGAAAAACAAGTAGAAGTTTGAAAAAATGCATTTAATTTCATTTTCATATTTTGCTTTGATAAAGTCCACATTGGACGAAACGCATCAGCAATTACCAGTTTTCCTATTGTCATTTTTATTCATAAATATATATATATATATATATATATATATATATATATATATATATATATGAATATAAGATATCACACATTGATGTTGGTGTTGATAAAATAGTGGTAAATGTAATATAACAGAGCTATTAAGTATATATTAATAAATATACATATTCCTCATCAATAGCATGTGCTTGATATAACATGCTACTGGCGTAGAATAATGCGTGCACACACCCACCCACACACACACACATACATATATATATATTACTTTAAACGTTATTTTAGTGGATACTTATGTTTGAGTAGATGCCCTGTTTTGTTTTGTTTTTTTTTAAACAGTGTGAATTACATTTGCCAGTCTGCATATTTGAGAGACAAAAAAGATAATAAAACAATAAAGAAAATGTTCTCTCTGGTAGTGTTCAAATATGTATTCCTATTTGTAGTGGAAATCCCTATCTGATCCAGTGTACTTTAAACCACAGAGAGCATCATATCCTAACAAGGTTCTATTTACCTGCACCCACTTAAAATATATATATATATATATATATATATATTTTGCTGTAACAAAAGAGAATTATCAGTTTAAGATGAAGAGATAACCACCCCACTGGATGACTTAATTGGGTTCAAGAGAGACAGGGTGGAATTAATGGAATTCAGAGGGTATGAAAAATAAGTTTCAACAATTTGAGCAAAAGTCAATAGCTCTTTTTTTTTCTTAGTTTTTTTATACTAGGCAAAAAAAACATCTTTTGTTATTAAATGAGGTAAGAAAAATTGTTTAAAAAAGTGGCAATACAAAAGGAAATATTAATAAGTGAAAATTCCTGCCAAGTTAAAAGTCAACAACTGTGTGAACTCTTTACAAGCATTTAAAATGCTGAAGAGCCATAAAGTTAATTTCTTGTAAAAAAACAGCTTATAAATGGCTACATCTTACAAATATCAATAAAATTTATAAACTTTTAAATTTTTACACTTTTTTTTGGTAGTATTTTGTTAATTACAATTTGTTTTTTCAAAATATTAACTTGATAAAACTATCTAATGTGTAGATAAATAGTTTGATTAAAAATAAGTTCAGGTATAGCAAAGAGGGAGCATTATAATTTCAGATGGCAATTAATCCTGTATATAGAAAGTAATTAAAAATATTTTTTTGTTTTTTGGGTTTTTTTTTTTTTTTTTTTTTTTTTTTACAAATCTTGACAAAACCTGCACACTTTTAAGGTAATGTGTTTATATTTCAACATTTGGAACATTTCTTTTTTTATTTTAAATAGATAAGACCATATCCATGTTGAACAAATCAGAATTAAGTCCATTGAAAATCTTAAATGAAAGGCAATAGTATTGTTTCACAAAAAGTTGTCTCTTGTCATTTAAAATCTAAATTTCTCAATGTGCTGTTTAGCTGCTTCAGTAGAATACTGGCAATTTTGTCATTATACTTTGTAATAGTTAATACTAAATATGTCCAAGAATTTGATTACTTCGAAATTCTGCAGTTGAATGATTAAATTCTTGAACTAAATATCCAGACTTCTGGTCAATTTTTCCACTTTGTTTTTTTTTTAAATTTTAATAAATAGCTTGAAACTTCAAGTCCTAGGACACTTAAAAACCTTCAGACATCTTGGGTATATTAATTTCAGCCATTAAATTTTTGTTAAAAAATCAAATTAAGGTCACTGTTCAAAATGTGAAAAAATAAAGAATAGGTGAATTAAAAAAAAAAACATAAGATATACAATAATTCATTCTCAATATTCACAATAATGCAGTTTATAATATACATGAGGAATTAGTGAAAAGTTCTCGGCCTGACCCACTGACCAAATGATCCTTCTTGGTTGGGGGTGAGAACTTTTCAGCACTCCATTGTAACATTTATTTAAAATTAGATTTTTTTTAAATCACAAGATGCAAAACAAAAATGCTGAAAAATAACAAAAATTAAAAATCTGCAAAAGATTATGAAAAGTCATGTGTAGTGATTAAATCAGGAAATTAGGGTTGATTAAAAGTAAAACATGTTTATTAGGGTTGACCTTCTATGTGGAGAGGATTTGAGTTTTACAAAATGATGGGAGCTTTTCATGTGATGGGAAATAAGTAGAATTTAGTAAAATTAAAAGAAAAGGTCATTAAAACATTAAAAATTATTAAATATATTTTTTTAAAAATGTAAAAATTAAAATATATTTTGATTTAAGAAAATGAAAAATTTAATTCTTTTTAAAATCATTCAAAAAGAAAAAAATGCATTAAATCATGTGGCTGTAAATTTATACAAATTTCATAAGACAATTGGCATAAAGTAAAGACTTATATTGATATTTTTTAATGTTTTAGATATGAACTATATAAGACATACATTGAAAAAATTCAAACAATTATTCTTTTATACTAAAAATTGTTTTTAATGATAGAAATATGTTATCAGAAAAATGTTAAATAGTAGTTATTAGAACAAAAAACATGCTATTTACTCTTAAAAAAAAAAAAAAAAAGACTTTTTCAGAAAAACTAGTTAAATTTTCATTTTAAATTAAAAAACATGCTAAATACTGATGTTGAAAAAAATATAAAATAACATTCTCAAGCTAACCCATGTTCCCCATTACAATGAAACTATGAAATTTGAAGTCAGTACAAACAATACACGATGATATAATAGAAAGTTTCTTCTTCAGGTGTGTTGTATCTAAAGACTTCTAAAGACTGCAACTAAATGCAACAAACACCTAACAAAAATAAAAGAGGCAAATACATTGTGTTAAAAACAGCAAAAATGAAGGAACTAGTAAAAATGTATGAAATAGATTAAATAAATTAAAAAATAAGCTAAACAATTATTTTAGAGAACATTAATAAAATGTTAATTTTTTTATAACATGGACTTTTTTAAATTTTATAAAATTACAAAATCAATTTTTAGGAAGGTGGTTATTTAAAACAATTCTAATATGAGAAAACATTTTCATAAATTTAGAATGAGTTAAGCACTAAAACACTTACTACTATAAACTAGAATGCCAATATTCTAGCTATTTAAATTATGTTCTTTATGAACTAAAGTCTAAATCTACTGAAAATTTTAGTTCAATTATAGCAAGAGACAAACAATTATTTGCTAACAAAGCTGGATATGACAAATATATTCCAATTAAAACCCAGTGAGAAGTTCTATCTTGCATTTCAATCAAATGAAAAAATGATAAAATTTAATCATTCATATTTTAGTAAGAATATAAGAAAACAGTTTGTGACAGAGAGAGAGTCTGGGAAACACACACGTATATTTATTTTTGTGAAATTGGAGTAGATTTGAATAGCGAAATTAAATCAGAGCATTTTGTTTACTGATGGGGAAATCTGATTTAGGGCAGAAGTTGTACCCATTGAATCTGGGTCATCAGTAGACAATGGAAATGGTTGAAATAATTTTTATCGATTAAAAATTGAAATAGAGCTGAGTAAGCTAGAAGGAACTTTAGAATTCACATGATCTTGGTTGAAGCAGCCAGAACCCCATGATAATCGTATGCGAAGTAGTAGGGCCGAGGGTCAGTTATAACCAGCCAGGTTTATCTATATAAACGCGTAGTTATGCTGAAAAAGACAGACGGGAGAAAATTCTTGAAGAGAGAAGAGAGAATTGGCCCGGGCAAGCATTGGGAGGAGGAATGCCACTTTAACTTTAAGCCCCGCACAAAAATCTTTATGCCTCCATCGCTAGAGTCATATATCTTTCTGAGACGATGTAACAAAATAATCACATACACTCTCTCTCTGTCTAGAATCCAGTGTATGAGTTTTTTTTTTTACTTTTCTTTTTTGTAATCCGTTTCTCTTCTCTACTATTCTTTTCTGCTATATAAAAAACATTACCAATTCAACCATTGAATCAATGTTTGTCCGGCTTTCTGCACATATTGTTTTTTTTGCTGCATTCTAAATTTCTTAGCGCAGCTCCCCAGCCATGTCTAAATCTTCAGTCAACCATGAATGGACAGACATCACATCTGCTTTCTGGATCAAACAAATCACAACGTGGGCAGGAAGCAGGATTAAACCAGCGGACAGGTCAAATAATCTACAGATGCTCAAGGGACCTATGGCCACTCCTTTAAGTTCGATTAGGACCAAGTAGACACCTCAACCCCGAGAGTAAGATGCTGGAGGTTGAGGGGCCAGGGCAAAAGTGTTAGAGTTCAAAGATTAAAATTTGAATATTATTTCTCTTATAAATTAATTTTTATTGCCAGTAAAAAGAGGAGCTTAAAAAAACAATTTTGAATTGAAAGAAAATAAGAAGCAACAGAAATTATATATATATATATATATATATATATATATATATATATATATATATATATACGTGTGTGTGTGTGTGTGTGTGTGTGTGTGTCTGGATCAAGGAATATTTTGCAAATGATTTCTAATAATGGAAGAAAGTTTATGAAAGGAATTGTTGAGAAATGGGAAAGATTTTATTAATATTTAACAGTAACATAATTAGAAAAGTCAATACATTGGGGTGTCTGTCTAAAACTAGATTTACTTTTATAAATTAAAATATCTATTTTCATATGTATAATATAAATTAATACTAAAATAATTTATTTTTAAAAACAAAACATTTAACAGTTTTATAGAGTAGCAAACTGTAAATGTAAGCCTTTAGCCTTACTTTGTAAGAAGTACCTATGGCTTTATATAAAAGATCTATGGCACACTGTATTAATGTTAATAAAGTATTCAGACTATTATCAAAACCAAGAATTCATAATATTTTTCTCAGAAGTAACTAATTAATGTTTTTCTTTTCTTCTAATAAGCATATCATGTGAATTAAATACCAAAATATCAATATCAAGATTCTACTTCTTGATCAACAAGCAAATTTATAAAATATAAAATTTCAATTCATTATTTCTTTGCTATCATTTGATGAAGTGGATTTCACATATTTCTAATACTTACAAGATTTGTTGATTTATAAAATTAAAATAAAACATAAATTGAATATCTTTTAGGTCTTATGGGCTAACAAAATATTCTAATTGCAAGGCAGTGAAACATTAATGGAAAATTGATATTCATTTTTCATTATCTATGTGTCATATCTTTTCCATGTGTAGGCCACTATCATGACTCTCCAGTTTCCTGATTTCTGTTGCTTTCAGTAATTACTTGCTCCTTTATGAAATCCTGTTTGTCTTTATGGTACTTGTTCCCCAGTTCATTTGCTAAAACTTCTCAAGTAAGATTTTCACTACTTGCCTTGAACTCAATGTCATGTGTATGTTAAATTCTCCAAGCATTCTTTCCTCATTACATGTCCTCAAAATTCCAGCTGTCTTTCTCTGTTAACAATAATTTCTTTGTAGTTCCTAATCTCTTTAAAATTTCCATCTTTCTAATGTAATCTATCCATGATATTCTCAATATTTGTTGTCTGCATCACTTGAAGTCTTTTCATCATTTATGAATAAAGAGTTCAGAATTCCCTGCTACAGAGGAAATTAGACATTACATAGCAGCTCAGCACTCTTTTCTTTCCGGAATACCTCAGTTCATTTTCTGAAAAGCATCTTTCATTATTCATTTGCATCTTTGGATTTTTATGTCACACTTTTTATCATTTGGTGTGGAAATATAACTTCTATATAGACAATCTAAATTTCCACACCTGCTTGATTTTGACATTCCTGATACATTACATAACCCACACTTTAGATTGTTTTTCTTCTTGCTTTAATGAACTAGCTTGTCTTATCATCCATTCAGTTTTTCTTCTGGATCTGCCATAAAACTTTTCATATTTTTAATGTAATAATCAATTAAAAATATGTAGTACTTTTGGAAAGTGTTTCATTTTTAGAAATTTTATGTGACCTACATTATTTTTAATAATTAATAAAAGAAGAGCAATGGTTAACACAAGAGTTTGAGTACAATAAAGATATGTCAAAAGTTGAACCTAGATTTCTCTTCTTGAATGATAAACAATAGAAGAATTTCATCATCATCCTTCAACCTCCCTGTGGTTGATCAGAACTCCATTAACAATCCCTTTTCACACTGCTCAGTCCTGCATTGCTGTCCCTAGATGCCTAATGTCCAACCCAATCCATGGTGTCTGGGAAAGTCAACTCTCACAAGAAGACACCTCTAGAAGGATATCATAGAAGTAAGGAGGAGGCAACCTCCCTGTTCTCTCTCTGGCTGGCAAACTGAAATCACTTTTGTTTGAGCTTAAGGGAGATTGGTCTCAGTTTTCCATAAATCGTGTTAAGCATTGCATGGGATCTTCAACTGATGTTCCGGATTTTTCTAAGCAGATTTGTACATGTTCCATCCAGTCGTCTTTCAACACGAATAGATAATGTCCAAGTTTTTGATCCATACAGTAGGACTGGTTCAGTCAGTGTTTGAAAGGTTTGGACTTTTAGAGAATGGAAGGTTTGAGCATCAAATCTTGTGAAGTTTGTTACATGCATCGCATGCAAGAGCTTTAAAAGTCTTTTTGGGAATCCATTATTTAGGAATTTAGGAAGAAGGCCAAAGTGCAATTTCAGGAATGTTGTACCAATGTCAAGAAAATGGTATTAAAACTCACAAGAAAACTCACTGAGACAATACAGAATTGATTTGAAATGACCAATGTTTGCTTGATATTACAACGGCTATAAAATCAGATCAGTACAAGAACATTCTCGCTAGACTTGTGCTATGAGCATTAAATTATTTATACATCTTTCAATTAATAGAAAATTATATAAAGACTTTTCATTAATACTTAAAAGTGTCAAATGTATAACATGGAGGAACAAAAATCAAAAGATATACATTTAATATGGAAAGATGGAAAAGTAAATTTCTTATTAAGGAGCAGAAATTAATTATAAGAAGGAAAGGGTCAATTTAAAAGAAAGAAATGATTTCATACTTGTAACATGCAGATATGGCTGAAGAGTAAAAGATGCAGGCTTATATCTACATGCAGAGCATTGTATTTCAAAACTGCAGTAGATATTAACACACTACCTATATTACTAGTAATGAGTACTTACTAAACGAGGAAAACCAGGATCAGACTGAAAATAAATTATTTGCATAAAAATAATTATGTAATCTGTGTGTTTGTGTATAAAAATTCAGATATAACTAAAAATACAATACGAAAAAGACAAAAGAAAAAAATTCAACAACAATAACATTTACTCACTTTCGTTTATTATACCATTTATTATCTTCCATAATTTAACTTTATTTTCTGTAATCTATTTAGGAGCATTCTTAAATTTTAAAATTCTGAAAAACTAATATTTTTATTTCTGTTTATAAATACTTGTTGCAAAAAAAAGTCCTTACATTTGCCTATCAAAGGACAAAATGTGTCAACTAAAATAAGTTATCCTTTTGTCTTTACACACACACACATAAGTCCATAATGCAATAGTTATTACATATTTAAGACTATCAGTTTATTCGACAGACAGAAAAATAAAGTATATACTCAATTAAGAGTTTAATTATATAAGTGACATTTCATAATTTATTGTGTATACTTGAGTTTCAAATAAACAAGGTGGCCGAAATAAAAGCTGTGACTGGATTTTTTAAAATTTTTAGTAATGAAACATTTTGTCTTTGGACCATATCTCTGTCACTTGAAGCATTTTCATTTGTGACTAAAGAGTTCAGTATTCCCTGCCATAGAGAAGAGATTAGATAGCAAGTCAGAACTGTTCTTTCTTTAATACCCCAGTTTACTTTCTGAAAAGCATTTTTAAATATTTCTATGCACCTTAAGATTTCTCTGTCACACTATCATATGTTATTTTATTATATAGACAGTTAAATTTCCACACCTGATTGATTTTCATATCTCTAATACAACACGTAACCTGGCAGTTCAATTGAATATTTAGTAAAATAGGTGGTTTTTGAGGTGTATTTTCTTCTAAAAAAGAATAATCATCCTAGCCTATTTAAAAGTAAGACAGAGTTACAATCACCCTGTTTATTTTAAAGAGTAAAATTCATGGGCTTGTTCAAGTGCAAAAATCTATTGCATCTTTTACATTTATTAGTAGGAGAATATGTCAGCCATGTTTTTACATATACATATAAAATTGATTTTCTTGTAAGATTCTCCCAGACCATTATCATCCAATTATTAAATTATTAAGAATCATGAAACTTTGTCATGCTGAATTTTTCCATGGCTTTTTTTATAAGAACGTACACACTTATGTTTCTAATTTAAAACAGACAAAATACACATTATATAACATTTATTCAAATAAAATATGAAAAATATTTACATAAAATCTTAACCTAATGTTAGTCTCTTAAAACAAATTGCATTTCATATACCATTTATACAATTATGCATAATAATATATGCACATAATAATTGTAAGCATGTTCTCAACAAGTCTAAGTCACTGTTTCTTAATAGATATTATAAATAAAATTAAAAATTTAATACTACTTCTCTTAATAACTTATGAATGACAATAAAATGGCTTCAATAATAAGTTTAAGAAAATCTTCAATGAATTCAAAATTGTCAAAAATAAGTTTCTGTAAATTTCTACATATTGTTTATAATTAGGTAAAATCCAATTATAGCAATATTTGGCAGACAACAAAAAATGAAACCAAATAAGCATGTCTTCATTCACTACTTTGTATACATGGGCTACTGTATTTAAAAAAAGACTAACAAAAGCCGAATTTGACTCGAAGCTCATCTGGTAATAGTACTACAAGAACTCAAATGATGAAATGTACAATACATACATACACTCATTCTAAAGTATCAACTCCAAAGTGTATAGCAAATAATATTCCTAGCAAAGGCGTGTTATCTCTTCATCCTCTAAATATAAAAATGTCAGTTTTATTTAATCTATCAAAATAGAATTTTAATCGACAATTCATTTGAATTTTAAGTTTCTTTTAAGTTTCAAAAACAAAAAAAAGCCAATTTAGTTTACTTACTCTTCGGTAACCTGTAACATAGAAAAAATTTAAAAAAATAATTAATCAGCATTCAAATAAAATACAAAAAATATTTATAAGAAAGCATACCCTAATGTTTCTAACTTAAACAAATTGCATATCATATAACATTTATTCAAATAAAATAAGAAAAATATTTACAGGAAAGCTTACTCTAATGTTGGTTTCTTAAAACACAAATTCCATACCATAATACCATTTATACAAATATGCATAATAATAAATGCTCATAATATTTGTAAGCATGTCCTCAACGATGACAAGTCATTGTTCACTAATAGACACAGTATTGCCTCTCACAAGCTTGGCTCCTTAAGAGTATGTTAAACAAGGGTCAATCCGTTTGAAGTGTTATTATTTAATGCTAATAAAGCAGAATACTTTGCTTGTAAATTCTCTTCCAACTCCACTCTCAACCCATCATGCCTTTTTCCACCAAAAAACTGAATATTTACTGTGTGATATGCATATAACTATTTCCATGGTTTCAATCACCATCTTCTGTTCTTCTGAATTCTGTTCTTTTATTGTCCTTTCTCATCACTAACATTTTCTCATTTACTTTCACTCTCAGTAATTCCTTGTATCCTAGTGGCATTTTCATCTTGCTTGGAGTGAAATGATTAAAAAAAATAATTGTATTACTCTGCTTCCAGGTGAAAATACTCTATTATCTCCTTACCTAAAACATAATTCTCCTATCTATATGTCCAAAGTAATATAACTCCACAAAATACTTACTGATATTACTCAACAACAAAAGTGTATTAATGTTTTAATCTATATTAAACTTAAACTAAATTAAAAATACAAAAGAATAAAAAAATAAAAACAATGTTCAAGTACATATTTCTAAATATTTGCTTCAAATTGCCTTTTGAGTTCTATATACATCAGTTGACAGAAATTATAATTTACTGAAAATAAGTTTGATGGTTAATCATAGTAGTAGTCTGTCTAGTTATTCAATTTTTTTTTTTCTTAAAAATAAAGGATAATATTAAAAATATAAGAATGACAATTGATCAATAGCCAAACAATTACATGCTGAAAATTTCAGTGTAAAACAAAGCAATTAATATTTACTATTGAATTAAGTTAATTGACAATGGAGATTATGTTGAAAAATAAAAATTGTTTGACAGGAAATACTTTATAAATTCCAATTCCAAGAAATGATCTTTAATATATTTTTTAACAAATTCAAATATTTTGTCGCTCATCACTTTGATAAGTCAAAGATAAGTTTTCACTTTTTAAACTAGATCTTTATTTGTGATACTTACCTTTTCTGAGTTTCTGGGGTTTCAACAAATTAAAATCTATAAAGTAAGAAAAGAAGATCATCTAAATTCATACCAAATGCAAATTTCAAAAAGGATCTCCTTGTGGTTATAAAAATAAATACAAACACGAGTATAAAAATTGGAGAAATTATTATAAATTTGATTTGAACAAAAAACTAGAGGATAATATTTCAACTCTTTTTTCATTAATAGTTTGACATCAAGATAAAAAGAAAAATATTAAGTAAACTGTTTATCGAACCAATGTTTACACAATATTCTTTTTAATATAATATACCCAATCAATAAAATCATTCTCACTTTGAGGTGTTATGATATAGAATCTTAATTTCTACCCCTACCCAGCTTCTTGGTAATATAAGCAGTTTTTGAAACCTAGATCCATCTTGTGAGTATTTGAAGAAAAATGCCAACAGAAACTCAAAACGTCATGATATTTCATACGTTTATATTTGCCTCAGATTTAATAAGAAATAAATATTTAAAATCTGGTATAATAGTTACAATAAAAACTTTCAGAAATGAGTTCATCTTAATACAAAATGTGAACAATATTCAGTTAATATTGTATTGATGCAAAAGTTCCCAGTACCATCTTTTGTACAATATTAGGAAAATCTTAAATATAAGTGTCTTTGAAATTGAATCAGTTCTTTATTATATGTGCATACACATTCGTTATAAATTGTTTGCTGAAATGTGATTTTGGTGAAAAATCATAACATAATATAAAATGCACATTTGACACTGGGAAAAAGTGCAGAAAAAGCTAGGTAACTGAAGCTTATGGAAACGATGCAGTAGGTGCAAGCATGTGTTGGGAATGGTTTGTGAATATTTTATAAAAAGAAAATGGGATTAAGAACAAATAAAACTGGAAAACTCAGAAATTCAAAATTGATGAATTAGAGGAAGCTTTATGCAACACAACACATGAACTTGCAGAAAAGTCAGAAGTAAATCTATAATTGAAAACTTCAAAAGTAAAAATATGTTTCACATGAGTTTATAAAAACAAACATTGATCAATGTTTATGTCTTTCTCTCCTTATTCAACCCAGATTATTGGTTGGGGGGCAAGTGAAATACTGGCAGTGTATAATGGTTTATTATGAGAATCTGAAATGAAGAAAATCTAATCTAGATCTAGAACAGCATTCAACATCGCAACCTAAACCCAAGGAAAACAATTCTATGTTTAGTAGGATTCAAAGAGAAACTTATTATAATTTGCTTGAACCTGGACAAATTGTTACTGCACAAGGCTCCAGCGAGCAATTGGCCTGTTTGAATGGTGTATTGACACTGAAAACTTTGATATTGCTGTGTAACAATGCTTACTATCATGTAAATGCAGCAAGTGACTTTGGGTGTAGTCTACAGACCAGTCATCTTCAGACAATCACTTGGTTCTCTCCATGAAAAAACTGGTTAGTAGTTTCAGGAAGGAAATTATTGAATCAGAAATAGAATGTTTCTTTTATGATGAAACACAATTTACAGAAAAAGTGGCATAAAAATAAGAAACAGAAATTAAAAACATCTTTCCTGACTATTGTTGTACTGAATAGAATAATCACATGAAGGTTGGTAATGAATGATAATACTTAGGACAAGAACAACACATATAAAATTCGCCAGCAAGCGCGTAGAAGTTGTCAACTGTTAGGAGTCAAGTGAATTCCACAATGAATCTCCAACTGCAGACAAACATATAGTATTTACTACTGTATTTATATGAATGGGGACATAACCATTATCATCTGTAGGTATGCTATAACAACTATGAATTTATAAAAGACTTTATGAAAATATATGCTAGAAACTTTCACATCAATAAACAACATAAATAAAATCATTTATATAACTTGCTATAAAAAGTTACATTCAACAAAAACAATTTTAAGAAAATAACCTGATGAGATATACTGAAAGTTCTCTGAAAAGCTTGACAAATAAGACTATGGCCAAGAACTTTTCAGCACCCTTTTGTAGCTTGCATATGAAAGAAAGAAGTTACTAAAGAGTTAATGTTTTATAAAGACCACAATCTCTAACATTATATGAAAGGAAAAAAGAAAGAAAACCTACCTCTAGATAAAAAAAAAAAAAAAATTAAAATAAGTTTCTAATTAAATGAAATGATATAAAACAACATTTGTATGTTTCAAAGATTTATTGTAGGATAGTGTCAGACCAATAACTTTTAAAAAATACACATCTCTATGTCACTTGAAGTGGAAATTTCTTTTTGTTAGAGATCTAAAATTTAAACACAAAGAAAAAACTCTCTAAATGTTTAAATTGTTTACCCGTACCTGGTATTAAGTTGCTGGATTTACGCCTCACCCTTCCACGTTTTTCAAGATAATCCAGTCCACTAATTTGATGCCTTTTTCCAGGGTCTACATTTTCACTGTTGGAAGCATCTACACAAGACAAGAGTTTTTTAAAGATTTAGAGAAAAAAAAAAAAGAAAAAAGATATCCCTAGCCCATAAATTTGAAAATGTAGAAACTTTAAAGTAAAAAAATTTCAATGAAAACAAAATAAGAACCAAGCAAAGATTCAGCAGATAGAAAATGTTGTTTGAAAAGCTACTGAAGATAAGGCTGTAAAAATAGCTCTATAAAAATGAAGGGGATATGAAAATGAATGAAAATGGTTAATGTTAGCAAATGATATGAATAATAATGAAGAAAAACAAAGTTGATCAGAAAATGTTGTAAACTGACATCCAATGTCTTTTCTTCTTCTTAAAAGAAACTGAAACAAAGTCCAAAGACAATAATTTCTTTAATTCAAATTAATAATATTCATATTTCTTACATTATTTCTACTTAACAAAATCCACATATTATTTCCAAAGATAAAAATATTCAATTTGGTGTGAATTTCTACAAAATACTGAATCTAGATTTTACTTTGTTAAGCAATTTAGTTATACCCAATTTTCATCTTAAACATACATTTTCCTTTAACATTTATATAACTTTAGTAATTTTAGTCAGTCACACATGAATAGAATAAATAATTTGAATAAACAAAAATTACTTGATCTGTAAGTACTTTTTATTCCTTATACAGAACTGATAATTTATTTAAAATGTTATTGTAGATATTGCAGATTATCGCTTCTAAGTTTTAAACAAAACTTATGTTCAGAACTAACCACAATAAATTGTAAAGCATGCTGGGATATCATGCAAGTTTAATCAATGGGAAATGGACATGCTCTCTATCTTATCAACAAAATTCACCTTATAGATATGATAGACAGATACAGATATGATAATATATGTAATCCAAACAATTTCCATAATATACTTAACATGTATAATTTCAATAAAGTTATAGTATAAAAGCTAACAAATCACAAATATGTATGCATCAGCAAAGAGTGTGTGTTGTATTCTTGATGCTAACAATTCAATAGAAAAATACTGTAAAGTTGCCATGCATTTGTGTGACTAAAAGATGCCTCTTTACAGATGATATAAAACAAATTATAATAGTAAAGCATTTAATATATGAATGTATTTCATATTCATGGGTGTAACTTTTTAAATGCATTACAAACATTAAGCAAAATGCACAGCTATAAGGAATGTAATAATGCATTTCTTTATAACCATACTTCTTTGCTATTTTTATTACTTATTAAATATACTTATTAATTAATATATATTTAATAAGTAACAAACTGGTAAAAACATTATATATATATATATATATATATATATATATTGCTGACGCCTACATGATAAAGTCCTTTCCTAAATTCTTCCAGGATTACTATAATTGTGCTATGTTTTATCAGTAAACCCTTCTATTTCATCTCTCCATCTTCTATTTGTTTTTCCTGCTACATTTGCTACCCATTGAGCAACTATCAAACAACTTTGACTATCTGTTATCATTTCTTCTTGCTATGTGTTTCACTTATCTCCATCTTTTAATCATTTCTATATGTCTTATCTGATCCATATTAACTTCATTGTTTTTTTGTGCAGTTTTGAATTTGCTTTATAAATTTATGTATATAACAAAAATATGACAAATTATTTTTAAAATTCTTTTATTATTTTTACTTTTGAAATAGAACTATTTTAAAAGTAAAGCTAGTTTTGAAAAATATATTCTAAAAACTTCTTAAAATGAAAGAAACCTACATTTTATTTTAATTTTATATTATTTTTTATAAAAAAAGTTATTAAGAATTTTAAGTTAAAAAAACTTAATGATGAAAAATTACTTAAAATTAATATGCTCAAACAGCAGAAAAAAATTAAATGATCCTTTAATTAGCAGGTGCAAATATCACTAGTTTACTTATTGCTAGATTTTTACAGAGTTATCAATTGGTTTTAAGTTTCATACATGACTTTAAATTTCTCAAAATATGAATATGTACTTTTATTTTTATTAACTATAACCAACAATAATCAGAAAGTTGTGTTTTCACTAAAAAACAATTGGTCATCACTTCTGAGAGGAACTGGATTCATTTATAGATTCTGTAAAGAATCAAAATGGGTTTCCTATTGAAAATTTTATTGTTGATAATTTGAGATGATGGAAATGAGAAAGAGAAATGAAGACACTGTAAAGAATATGTCCAATTAGATGAGTGAATGATAGAAATGGTTAAAAGATTTAACCATTTCAAACAAATAGAAAAAATACAAGAGAAAAGATTTAAAATATGAATCAAAGAAAGAATTTCAACATGATATATAGAATTGTAGTTAAGCTCTGAGATAGTATTTGGCACATAATTAGATAACGAAAATATTTCATAGCTGGAAATTGTCTATTCTCTTCTGGTGTTATATATATATATATAGAAAGATGTGCCAGAGTGCATTATCAATGATGTTAACACCAAGTTCAATGATAGTTTCAAGTCTTTCAACATCATATCATCTTGCTCAGCTAACCTGACATCATTGATAACAGAACAGCATGCATCTCAGCAACAAATTATGTTTAACCTTTGTTGCATTGCATTAATGCAATAAAAAAAATAATTGTAAATGATAATGGTACCAATATGTAGTAAATGGTCAGGCATGCTAGCCAAGAGAAAATGTCCCTTCCTATTTGTCTCATCTGTAATATACAGCACAAAGCTCCTAATTTTCTTTGCTCTTCTGTTATCAGAAATGACATTTCATGGACACCATATGTACTCAGGAAACAGGTAAATATATAAGGGAGAGGAGCTAAATGAATGACAAAATGTAAAAATCTCCTATGCTATTTCATCCTTCAAACAGAATTTTTCATAATGGTTTTACCCCTGGAGTCATAGATACCTGAGAGAGTGGAAGAAATACAAAAAAAATGCCAGTCCAGTTAAATTCTACACTAAGAAAAATGTACCCTTATCTGCCTATCTCAAAAGTTTGTACAATTTTAAAAAAATAAGGACTATAAGTTACTATAAATATTAGGTTGATGCAAAAGTTCCTAGCACCATATTCTGCATAATTTTAAGGAAACTCAGCTCTTTAATAATGCTGCATTCACTAAATTGTAATATGTCTTTTACAAGCCTTGGGAAAATTTTATAAGTTAGAAAAATGACTTCTACATGAACTTACAGAAAAATAAAGTCAGCATTTAAATACTTGTATTTGCTATCTTGCTCAATAGTGAAAACAGTTATTTTTGGATAAGGTAAGAAAATTATAGAAAGATCCAGGACAGAAATCAACATCTCAAAAAAAAATGAAATAAAGTGAATAAAAATGTATTTCTGAGTTTGGTAGAATTAAAATAGAATGTTTTCTTTGTGTTTTTTTTTTTTATTACAAATTGCTGAAACTGGAGCAAACTGTTACTGCACAACACAAGTGAGCAATTGGTTTGATTGAAAGACAATGATACAGAAAACCTTTTTTCATAGCAAGGAAGTCAACCAATGATTTTGCAACATGCTGCTGCCTACCCTTAGGTCATAAATGCAATGCAGCAGAACTTGGAGCTGGAATGCGATGTTCACATGCAGCTTAGCCTTCAAACTATCACTTGCTCTGTTGCATGTTACACTCCTTGTTTGATCAGTGATTCTAACATGATATCAAAAGTTTCTTCTAAGAATTCATTGAGTCAAAAATAAATACACACGTTACCTGAAACTTAGTGCAAATTCATAAAAAAAACAGGAAAAATACTTTGATTACTGAATAATAATGCTATGATTTTATTTTGTCTAAAAATGCTGAAAACTTTCGCATCAACCTAAGAAGTAAAACATTAGATATGTAAGAGTACTTAAATAAATAAATAAATAAATAAATAAATAAAAGGTGTAAGTGTTCAGTAAAGACCCTTGAAAAGTAATTTCCAACATGCCATGTATAAGACAAAAAGTTAAGTATTCAGCATATCTTCACTGCATTTGTGATAAGAATAGAGACAGACAAGCAGGTGAATGAATGAATGGATGGATGGATGAGTGGGAGGAAAGGAGAGCATGTAGTGTTCAGTCAAGTGTAAAGTGGACATAGCAGTAGCAACAACCTGAGCTATTTCAGAGCTCATGCTGGTTTGGTGAGTAAAGGTGGTGCAATTGAGCCACAACAGCCAGATCAAGTAGAAAAAGTCAAGAATTTACCAAAAAGCTGGAAAGTGTTCAAACATTCAAGCTTCTCACATTGTTCATCTTTGCTGCGACCAAGTTCCATTACAAGATGGCGAACCTTCTCAGGAATTTTGCCCTTGTAACTTTCCAAGATCAGATGCTTGATTTCCTGACACCATTTCATTTTCTGTTCCATGTTCCGAGCCTGAAAATTATAAAATAACAATAATAATATTGAAGATTATAAAAAGAATGTTTTTCAACTTATTTTTTACTAAAAGTCAATTTGAGCACTTTCTGATTAAGTGTCCTACATCCATGGCCTTGTGTTTGTTTTAATAAAATCAATCCATTAAATATAGCATTTCAAGTGACTTGATACTTCCAATACATTTTTTATAATAATGACATTTACTAAGCTTACTTGAAGGCAAATAGGTCAAGGAGAGGAAGATTACACTAATTTTATAAGAAAGGAAAGTTTTCTTGCCTTGAAAATCAGCATTTGAAATTCTAGCTTTAAACTGAACTTGAACAAAGGGAAATATGTAACTATTTCAGTCAAATAGTAACAGATATTTTTCTGTTGCAATTGTCAAAATAGACTCCAACTTCATGTTTCCTCAAATACATTCATTCTGTCAGTAACTTTGTATTTAAGCAACTACCAGTTCTAGACCTATAAATAAATTGCAGTTTTTTTTTTGTAAAATAGATAATGGAAGAATTTATAACATCAAATTATATTATTTGTACAAATGGAAAAGTGCCTGGATAATGGCAAAAGAAATTAATCCAATAAAAACAGATTTAAGTATATAATAAGTAAACATATCAGAAACAAAGAGACTTAGTTTTCTATCGGTGTAGTTTTGTTTCTCTGACTTTTGTTTATCATAGATAATATTTTGTTTTTCTCATTGCAGATGTATAAAACAATATTAGGCTATTTAAAAAAAAAATAAAGATACACGCCTTTAAATTTCTCTAAACCATGTTTGTCACAGGCATCATTTACATTGCAATTTTTCTACTGTCTTAAAATTTTCTAATAAAATTTGTCAAAGAATGCTAAAAATTTCACAATTATAGCACTTGACATTTTTACTGACACATTTATGGATACTATTGTCTTCAAATATGAATAGTTTCAGCTTACCGAAGTCTATATGGGTAACTGTATTAAAGTTTCTAAATTAACAGATTTTTTTTTGTTTTACAGCTTATCAAAAGCCAGAAAATATTTTTAAACTGTAAGATTTTTTTTGTGAAATAATAATGATTTACTGATACAAGTTCTATTAATTAACCCATAGCTGGGAGAAACATAAATGGATTCATACCAATCTGAACAGGGACCATCCTGGGTAAGACGTTAAACTACATCAGCGTCCTGGGTAAGACAATAAACTACATCCAGCAGCAAGGCCTCTGATCAGGAGGTTTTGAGGAGCATGGAACCACTTCTTAATTGCTGGTGTTCCCAGGTTCACCCTGACCCGGGGTGGTAGCATCTGTTAGGGTCCTAGCTATGGGCAAATAGTTAACTGTTACCAGCAATATATTTTGAAAAAGATTATTACCAGCAATACAATTTTGAAGGAAAGATATTACCAGAAACAGATTTTTGACAAAACAAAATATTACCAGCAATAAAAAATTTTGTTGGCATTAAATAACCAATTGAGGCTGATATGCCATAAAACAAAATAAACCAAACCAATCTAAACCAAAGAATACATATTCTATTTATACAAATCTATCCTAAAAATTTTGTTGGCATTAAATAATCCATTGAGGTTGATATGCCATAAAACAAAAACTAAACCAAACCTATCTGAAGTGTATTTGTGTGTAAGTGAATAATAATGAACCTGACTGGAATTGGACTCAGCTCTTCAGTTTCCAGTTCCAAGCCATTATTCATTACACCATGTACACATCCAAACTTCTAGGTACTGACCTGGCTAGATGTTGCTTAACTTTGGTAACCATACATAGAGTTTCTAGAATACATTTTACAAGCCTGGAAGTTACAAATGTAATTGTATTTTTTTGTTCCAAATACAAATGGTGATTGGAATAGCCATAGCAGTGGGAATATTCCAACATATTAAATAAGCATAAAAGTTCAAATAAACAACTCAATGGAAATTTTTATAGAAGTTTAAATTTAAAACAGAATAATCATACTTTAGAGAAAATTATTTGGAAATTAATGAGCCTGCTGTATCAAATAGGTATTATGCCAGTGGCGGAGGGGGGGGGGGGTCATACCAATACTTATATTTGGGACACAAGAGTATCTACATCAGTTATGTGAGTTTTTTTTAATGTAAGAGAACTGTTGATAATTTCAAGAAAACAGAAATAAAAAGTGATTAAATTTAGTACAAGTTTATTCACACATAACTGCTGCTCAGAATATATACAAATATAAACAGTGATTTAATTGCAAATGCCAAAGATACTTGGTCCTCAAAAACAGTATCTAAACATTCAAGCACCATTGTCTTACAACATCTGTAATACACATGAGGTATAAACAGCAAGCAACAAACAAAATAAGATTTTAGTCATTTCTAATAAATATTTTTGAATACCATATTTCTTCTGTCTTATCTTCTTGCCATGTTCTTTCAGGATCTGGCTGATCAAGACTCTATAACTTCATGTCTTTTGTTATTCTAAGTAAATCTTTCTCATTTACTACATTCTTTTGTCTTTCTGCCATGTATTCACTCATACTTGTCAATTAGATTATTTGCCATTTATCCCTGCTTCTCTTGCTTTCAATATGTCCTGTGTGTATTAAATTCGCCAAGCTTTCTTTTCTCATAAGTCCCAGAATATTCAGCCATTTCTTTCTGGTTATAAGCAGCAAATTCCTTTTAGTTTGTATTTTCCTTAAAAAAAGTTACTTTCCTTACTTATTTCCTTGTCCATAGTATTCTTAAGAAGAGCCACATCTCTCTTGCTTCAAAGCTCTTCATCATCTGTGGGGAGATTGTCCAATATTCACTGCCATAGAGGAGAAAAGATATAACATAGCAGTTCAGCACTTTTCTCTTGTTTCTAAGTACATTTTCCTTTCTCTTAATATTTTGTTTAGTTTTTCAACAATCAATGCTTAAATCATTTGTTAATGTTAGGTTAATTTTTCATTTGTTAATGTTCTGGTTTTCTATGTCTCCTCCCAGGCTTTTCCATATTCACAAGCATCTTGGATGGTTTTCAAACTAGGTGTTGGCTATAATTTGGCTATTTGCAGTAAACTAATGAACCCATTTTTCTCCACATTCATTATAGGACCCAAGTCCATACTTACCAACTATTTCCCTATCTTGTTCCCTATCTTCCTACTTTTTCATTTATTTCCCCAAGATAATAATTTCTTGTGCTTTCTCTGGTATTTGACATTTTCATATTTGGTGCTTTCTGACAGATTCATCTGCTACTATGATGGCCATATTCCCCTTCAGTTTCACCAGAAGAAATAACAGATACTAGTAACCCAAAAGGCATTTCCTTTTGTAGTTTATCTGATATTAGATGAACTCCTCTTTCATTTCTCTCTCCACTTGCATATATGATTTTGTGGTCATTATTGTCATGGGAATCTGTGGCGGACATGAGACAGAACCTGGGACGAGCACAACTGGTCGCGACTTGCCTTGTCCCCGCCAAAAAAGAGCCCGTATTTGCTTAGCATGTAAAGCTACTGCAGTTGAAATGAGGGAGAGAAAAAAGCACTTACCGCTCTGCCGTAATCCATCCTCGGCCAGATAATGTAAAAGAATGAGGGGGGACTGGCATCGCATTTTTATGCAATTATGATGCAATGCATTATGGGACATGGACACAATGAATTATGGGATCACATGAAGAGGCAAGGGATTATGGGTACACGAACAACTATAAAAACAACTACTTTTTTCCGAGTCGGGGAGTTCTTCAAGGGACGTTCACGGTTGACGGCTAGAACGGGCAGTTAGTGTGATTTGGAGACAGAACTCAAGAAGGAATGACTCAAGTTTAAAATACCAGTTGGGAGAGCTTGAATTTACTCGCTGGTTACTGTTTTCTTCATTCGCCTCAGAATCAAAAGCAATGAAAGACACAACAGAAAATTTATCTTGTGTTTTGTGTACATAAGAAAGGTATCCATTTTTCAGAATCTATTTTCAGTCAAGGCAAGTTTTTTGCTATTTTGCTTCTGAGCAAAAACATGTATTACCTGTAATGTCTGCATTGACTTTGGATTATCAAATGGAATGACTTGGAAACTCAAAGGTTCTTTTGGAATGCTTTCAATCAGCATAAGGTTGGCACACTAAAAAGAAATAAAAAGAAATGTTTAAACATGAAATACAACTTTTATTATTAAAAAACAATATCAAGAGATGAAGATTAAAATTAAATTTTGAATCCTGTAATATTTTTCTTTTAAGAGAAAAATTAAATCTAATTTTGCACATTTTTTTTAAGATTAAAAAAAAACAAAACAAAATAACATCCTGAAATTTACTAAGATATAAAACATAACATTTTTATATGTAATTGCAAAACCATGTTGAGCTGCTGTGCAGTAAAACACCAAACAATATATTTTCACACATATCTTTTATCTACTCAACATCACATGCTTCACTTTAGGGATGGAAGAATGAAGAGAGATAGTAAGTGCATCTGGTAGAAACTATTATCATCACTGTTATAGTATTATATTGCTGGCCATTGTGTTTATACAAAAATTACTTACCTCAATAAAGCTTTTACAACTCAACATGCCTTCTTCCTTCTTCTTTGTTATAAGTACAGCCTTCTCAAACAAGAAAACTTGCCGGTATGTCTTTGTACCACATATACGTAGAGAACCCTTTATAGGATAAAATTTTAAAGAAAATAATCATTTTTAGTGTAAGATTGCAAACAGGTATTTCAGGAAATGAATAAATAAAAATACAAATGATTCATATATTTTATATGTACAGAAATCACATTAAAAAAAAACAAAAAAAAACCTTAGTTTATGTGTTCATTCAAATAAAATATAAATTGATCCATGCATTACACTAACTTTTTGTGAGCCTCTACTTTCCATAAAAAACAGAAAATTTCATTTTAATTTTAAAAATGAACTTAACTAGATTTGTATGTATTCAGTATTTATGAAACTTGCTGAAATGTGCTCTACCATCATGAAATAAAAACTGAAATGCAAATATATTTTTATCTAAGCAATTACAAAATATTCCAAGAATAGTAAATAAAAATCAATGAGAAAAGAATAATTTGTCTTAAACTGACTTCAATGATAAGATCACCAAGTGTGGTAAGGTCAGCACCATCATATTCCAGCAACTGGCTCTGAATTTCCTGTATACGGACTGCATGCTCATGTTTTCGTTTCATTTCATTGATGTGTTGTGCCATACTGGTCATGTGTGTCAGTGCTTGGCATAACACATCAAAACCTTCTTTCTCTTCATCATAATGTTTCAGAATGTTCTGAAAAATAAGACATAGTAGTAAATAAGTGTTACTAGTTGACTGTATTCCAGTTATCTTTTACAGCCTGATACTCTAATTTTATAATACTGTGAAAAATGTCCCCCATCATTAGTGTAACGATTGCATTGTAACTGATCTAATAAAAAAAATTGATGTTGCCTATGAAAATGTGTTTACTATAGGAATGTATATCCAAACATTTCAAAAGTACATTTTGTAAAACAAATAAAATATAGTTTACATTATGTTGAACAGCCACTCAATCATCTTAATAATAATGTCATCATTGAAAATTTATTTCAAAACTGCAAGAGTAGACTGATGCTCAGATTTTATTCTACAGAATAGAAATAATAAAATAATTCCTGAGTTTTTTTTACAGCAAAAATCAAAAATTATATTTCTCAAATATTAATTTTTTGTCAACATTATTTATTTTTCAATGTTTTCATTATATTTGTGCTTGTTAATAATTTCTCTTAATTTAAAATAGAAAATATCAAAATACTGTGAAATTTAATTCACTTTATAATAATAGCACAGTTTAAGCAGTGTAAACAAAAATGTAAAGGTTTCTCTTGACAGGTGCAGACACATCATACAAATTGGCTATTAAAGAAGGTTTCTGGATTACTAAAAAGGAGCCTTGTTTAAATAAACAACTTAAATCATATATGACAATCTTGAGGATATAAAAATAATTTTGTAGAATTATAACAACTGTAGATGAAGCTTTTTGCCCTCTTCTTCTAAGAATTTTGGGCAAAGTTTAAGCTTTGTGCCCGCAAAAAACATTGTCTCAAAAAGATGATTTTTCTGTTGACACTGCTATTACTATATACTACCAAGACCCCCTCAGCAATGTTTATTTACAAGATTATAAAAATATGTGAACCAAGTATCAGGTCATCTCATAAGTTCTGTTTGGATTTTTAATAATAAAGAAGTGATCAAATCTTGCATTTTATTGAAATTTATTCATCAGTGTAGTTTCCATGATTATCTATGACTTCCCTTCCATTTGCTTACAAGCTTCTTCTTTTTTTCACACAATTCATGAGGCATCTATTTTCCAAGTTTAGGAATCTTTCCAAGTTGTTGAAGATGACAATGAACAGGAGTATGGTTTGGATGAAGCTTCATTGCCAATTATTCAACAGATACTGCAGGATTTTCTTAAAGTGATGCCACAAGGAGCTCATCATCAAACTCAACTGGACATCCTGTTCAGTCTTCATCTTCAAAGCTGAAATTTCCACTTCTTAATTTGGCAAACCATCTTTCATTCAAGTTCTTTCATTCAGGCTGAGTGAATGAATTTCAGTGAAATATTCACTCCATAAAGCTGAGAGAATATTTCAAGTCACTTCATCTGCAGAGTTCACTTTTTTAAACTCATAAAGCATTATATGCCTTAAATCCTCCTTTGACACCTCCATCTTTGAGGGGCTAATTTGAGTAATTAATTCAGTCAAATTATTCTGTAAAAAGAAATTATATTAAGTTAAAGGTTTCTAAATTCATATGATTATCAATCAGTATCATTTGACATTTTAGAATACTGTAAAATTTGATTGAAATTACATGTATAATATTTTTGATAGAACTTATGGGATGACCTGATATAATGTGATATTTATTATAAATTAGTAAATAATAAATTATATAACATATAAAATTTTTTTTGTAAATAAGCAATCTAATAAATAGTTTAATATTTTTTGTAAATCCCCAAGAACAAAAAATATATATAAATTCATTTATATTTGGGTTCTATTAAAATTCTTTTTGACAAACCATTTTTTGTGTGCACAAAGGTTAAATTTTGCCAGATAATGAATTACGGAACTGTCTTCTCTTACAAAATCTAATTATAAGACATTCATTATTTATTAAAACTTTCACATTCCTCTTTTGTATTGTGAATCTATGAGGGTGTCATTGATTCTACTTTAACATGATAGACTATTTCTATGTCAAACAAAAAATTATTTCTGTGTACTATTAAAGGTACATTCAGTATTAAATAGCTGATTATATGTGTATAACACATCATAAACAATGGGTTAAAATAATTTCATCAAAAAACTGAGTCAAAAAAATTCAAAATGCATTTAATAAAAACTAGTGCTTTCATGGGAGTGGCTGCACATTTGAAATCAAAGCTCAACCAAGCATGAAACACTTAACTAGTAGCTTCAAATGGGAGAATCTTAGAAGTATTAATAAACAGGCCTATAAACATAAACTTTTATTCTAAGTTCAAATAAAATTATGACAAAAACATCCACAGTAAGCTTGTTTTAAAATTTCTGTATTTTATCAAGAGAGTCTAGTTTCTTTTCAATCACAGAGTTCTTGATCCGACTCATTTTCTTAAATCTGACTAAATGACCAAAAATGACCAGAATTTTTTTGGAATCCTTTATTGGCTGGGTTTTAAAACTTTTCAGCACCCACTTTCAGAACACATATATATTTTGTACATATTTGCTTTAAATTAAATAAAAAAAAAAAACATCTGGAAATCAAGTACAATTGAAATATAAGTAAATAGATATCCTAAAAGTTAACTGGAAACAGCAAAAACAAATCAACATTAAGTCTTTATGTATTTGTTGAGAAAAAAAAACAATGAATTGTTTCAAAACTCTAAGAGTAAGAATTGCACATTCATGTTGAGTAATATGAGCAAGGATGCTGAAAAATGGTCCATTATGTGCAGCTGTGAAATAACAAGGAATTAACAAATATTTTCTGTTGGATTAAGAATTTTACACATAACATTTATCATGTAAATTATATTAACAGCATTGGTATTTGTTTATATAGCTGAATTGTTGCAGAATAGAACTTAAGGCTGAAGATTGCAGTTTTATAGTATTATGCAAATATCTTGGACCATCGTTAAATTATTTTAGTAAGATTAGAAAGTCTATAAGTATTTATTTCTTAGTCCATTCATAAAATAGATTTATCAGAATTAAAATAACAAAAATAGATTCAGCAGTATACAATACAAATATGCATAAATCCCCATTCCCATGCACAACTTTGAAGATTGAATACCTTGAACTCTCTTAGACTGTTTTGAAATTTTCTCAATTTTTGTATGTTAAGTCAAATTTTCATTCAAAAATTTTTTCTATTTCAGTTACCTTTAATAAGATGGTTGGATGATTTATAAGTTAAAGAGGTTTTTTTCTGTGTTTAAACATTACAGAAAAATTCTGTAGGTGCTTATTTCAGAGAAAAATCTGACATATATAAAATGATAATTTTGCAGCAAGAAGGTGAATCTTAAAGGGAAATAAGCAGACAAACTGGATTCCCAAGATGTAAATTTCAACCTGTTAAAAAATTTCAAAATCTAAAGAGGACAAAAAAAATAAAAAAGGTAGAAAGTTTAAAAACCTATTGACCTGTAATGAATTATTACGTCTTTGCTATTCAAATCAATATGCTCATCTTGGTTTGTTATACTCACTGAATATATCAACCAAGATAAGCACATACTAGTTCAAATAACAAAGTATATGATAATAATAATAATTCCTCATCACATAAATTCTGACAAAACTTCTGTAATGAATTTATTAAAGTTACTTTAAGAGACAAGAAGAAATCTAACAATGAATTTTCTCAACATTTAACAAATTCAGCTGAATTAAAGGTGATTACAGTTTGAAGAAGAAATTTGGTTAGAAATGTTTTTTATGGCAGAGTTGCAAAGAAGAAACCATTTCTCTGGAAAGAAAACAGGAAGAAGAGGTTAAAATACACAAATGCTCATAAAGATTTAAGGGTGAATCAAATGATTTATTAAATGTTTCATGTGAATCAGCATCTTGGTTGTTATATTCTTAACATTTTAACCATTTGTATTCTCACATCTTGTTGAGGTTTTTGCTGGCATATTCAGAATCTTTGGGATTTTTAATGAAACCCTTTATTTAATTCACACGTTTAGATTCTTCTTATTCTGCTTTAACATGTTTAGGGGAAATAACTCAGTTACTACTCATCAGTTGCTTATCTGTTTCTTCCTCTGAACCAGAGTGTACATACAACTTTTCAAAATTTCCTGGACCCCAGGGATTGAAATTATAACTGATAATGAGTTAGTTATGTTTTAATCAACATTTAATCCACTACACCTTGTATTTCTTGTCCAAGCATTGATTAAAAACCTATCTTGAAAATAGTGAGCGTCTAATCTGCTACAATATATAGAGATGTACAACAATGAGTATTTACAACCTTCACTAACAGATTGTGAAGGTTCAGTAATGGCATGTATTTCAGCCACCAGTGATGTCTGTAATATTGTTATGATTGACAATATCATGAATGCTGAAAAATACAGTCTTAATCATACTGATCATCCTGGAAAACATCTAACTGAGAAGAGCTTTGACTTTTCAATATGGCAATGATCTAAAACACCCCCCCCCCCAATGTTGTGCTAACAGTCATGGATTGGCCTCAATAAAACCTATTCTATTGTAGGAGCAGAAGTGGAACAAAAAAAGAATTGAAAAGACAACTCCTTCAAATCTAGTATTAGCAAAAGATTACTTATGGAAAATTTCAAAGAATATTCAAGTTGTGCCAGATGCAATTATGTGTATTCAAGTTGTCCTATATGTAAAAATAGGACATATTAAACCTGCAGAAACTACAAATTTTCTGTATTTTTGTTCTGTATTTAATTGTGTATAGAGGTGTCAAATAAACTTTACATGAATAGAGTACAAAATAAATACTCATAGCCTCTTCTAATCTTAATGAAATAAAAAAAATCTAAAGATGATCTGAGACTTTTACAAAAGCCAGGTTGATAATACTTGTACATTCACCTATGAAGAAAAAATTGATTTCAAATCAGATCATTAGAGCCTAATTATTTTGATTAACTATAGACATATCCTTGAGTCAAGAAGTGAAATTTTTCTTTTTTCATGATGAGGGCGATCACAGTTCTCCACAACTTCCTATCCTTTTTAGCTCCTTGCTATATTTGACTTTTTACTATCCCTCCTCATCTGTTCTGCCAAAGTCATTAATGTTAATGAACAGGTCTTTTGTTTCATTATTTTTTATTCATATCTGCTTTTACAGATATATAAAGAATGTCTTTAGAGTGAAGAATAATTAAACTAAAAGAACTAAGAAAATATTCTCCAATCACAAAGTAGAAAGTGCAACATGACAATGTAATTAAGTGATAACAGTGTTAATAACAAAAATGCTGGGTAGACAAATCTGTATTCATTTTCCACTCCTCACATTTTACTTTGTCATATTCTTGTCATTCTTTCTTTCTCTCTTTTGAACGTCCTTATAAATCTACTGCAACTTTCTTTATGACTATTATATAGATTATTACTACCAACATCTCATACTGGTTTTCAGTGCCTTGTACAGGTTACTATATAAACCATTCCTCTCAAGGATACCCATTAAAATTTTTATCTATTCCTAATTTTATTACTCACTCATAATTAAGATTAAAAAATGAAGTTTTTACTATTTTGTTTTAAAGGAATTAGCACTTATTTCAATGAATGCTTTTTACATTGTTATATTTTATTTATTTAATAGCTAGATGAGACCACTGCAGCCTATAACTTACCTGGAGGAGTAAATGGTATTTAAGAACCCTTTGTACTGGCTTTAATAAGTAGGCACCAAGAGGAAGGTTATGTCCCAGAACCAGCTGTCGTTGTTTAAAGATATCTGCCAAGTTCTGATGAGCCATACACTTGGTCAGAGTTTCCAAGGCACTGGACAATAAAAAAAAAATGAACAACAATAATACATTTTTAACACATAATAAAGTACAGAATAAATGAAAATATCTTTTAATTGATCCTAAATTGTTTGCTTTCATTTTAAGCTTAACCACATTAAACTTTCTAAGATTTTATAAAATGATCTTTTTAAATGACTTAAATTCTTCTTCAAAATTTGAAATATAAAAAACAAGAATTTTTCAAACTCTGATGAAAATCTTTTAATATTTTTCATAACTTTACTGACAATTCTCTCAAAATAGTGTAACCAAAATAAAGTATTTTATTAAAATACCTCAGTACATGATAAAATAAATATGTGCTCTCCCCCACAACCAGATTATTAAAACATTAAAATGAACAAGCATTTATTGTATAATAATAGATGCCTGTTGTTATTGTCTGATCAATTGAGATTTATTTTCTTCAATATTTAAATATTTGAGGGGTAATAAAACTATTTGAAAAAATATATTTAAAGATAAGCCAGTTTTTCAAACTTTATTTCCCATTATTCTCTTTTCATAAGTTTCAAGGATAAAAATCTTTATCATCCAACAATTTCTGTGGTTGTCAAGTGCCAGCCAGCATAAAATCTGAGAAGTTGAATATTTAAATTTAAACCAGAATATTATTTTCTAACACGTGAATATTTACATATTCCATTTAATGACAAGATTTTTATTCTTCTGTAGATATTTATGATTGTGAATATATTTTAAATTCACATATTTATGAATTATTATACTTACTAATTTATCAAAAACCTATGTATCTCCTCTACTGCAGTCAAGATCATAGATTCATCAATCCTGCACCACAGTTAATTGTGAATTCCATATAGTATATACTTCACTACATTGGATACAAACTTGAATTCAGAGTTTTCCTTCTCCTAGACTACTTGCCAACCATGGCTAGACAACCTAGTCTGTCCTCTTACTTACCTTGGGGAGAAGAGATTGATTCATACCTTTCCCAAGGGTATTTGTGCAAAATGAATGTAACAAAGTCTGTCTATATTTCTGAGATGAGGTATTATATACATTATTCGGACTATTGTCCTCATCTTTGTTGCCATATTTATCACAATGTTTCGGCCGTTGTACGCTCCGGCCTTCTTCAGGTAGTTGGAATTTCGAACTGAACCCTTTATTTTGCTCACTGGCGTATACTGTTCTAGTTCCACGTGCCATGTTTGATGGATGTCAGTTATCAGTTATCTCCTGTCAATTTCCCTCTAAAAGTTCTCCACTGCCTTAACCGGGTATTGAACTCACACTCTTTGGGTCCTGTCACTGGATCTAGCCAACACCTTTATCCACTGTGCCATGTGTCCTCAAATAGTATTTTTGTTCATATGTCTACAGACTGTAAACTGAAAATAATCACTTACCTTGGGTAGTTGGTACAGTAGTGGCCATAAATTACAAATTTGTCTTTATTTTTCACAAAACATTCAGCAACTTTCAAAGGATCTCCTTCACATAATTCTAATTCTTGCAAAAACTTTCTGCAAAACAATGAAAAATTAATATAGTATCTCACAGATTTATAAAATAAATCAAAACTAAATAAAAAAAAGTAAATTAAAAAACAGACAAAAAAATATTTTGAAATAAAAATTAACTGACCAAATTCCCCTCTGCCTTCCTCATTAAGCAACTATCTCTTAACACATTTTGTTCATTATCCTTCCAAGACTACTGATATAGTTATTTTTTTTTTTATTTATAAATTAAATTATTTGCACAGTTTATGAAGAATGTACTGTAAATGATCAAGCATGTCAAAAGTGGTTTACAAAGTCTCATGTTGGAGATTTCGCACCAAACAGTTCATAGTCAGACCAGTTGATAGCACCTAAAAGACATCATTACTTGAGAATATACAATGTTATATAATGCAGGAAATGCAAAAAAACACACTCAGACTATCTAAGCAAATCAGTGAAAATCATTTGAACCAATTTGCTTGTGCTAACTGCTTTAATGGATAGCATTTACATAAGGTAAGTTGGTGTGTATGGAAGAGAACATAAATCTACTGGACCAAATTTCCATGTGTAATTATAATTAAAACATAATGAAAATATTCTATATTTAAAAAAACAGTGACAGACAATGAAAAGTGGATACTTTACAACAATGTAAAATGCAAAAGAATATGGAGTAAGCAAAATGAACCGCCATTAATTATGCCAAAAGCAAGTCTTCATTAAAAGTAAATGATGCTGTATATATCAATTGCAAGGAAGGTGGTTACTTCAAGCTCTTAGAGAAGCAAATGATTTCTACAATTACTGCTCCTATTTAAAACAATTGAAAACAGCAATTGACAAAAAGCTTTTGTCCAGCAGAGTACAATATTCCATCAGGATAATGACAGACCATATGTTTATTTGGTGACCATACGAAAACTGTTACAGTTTGGCTGGGAAGTTTTTCACTCATCTTTCAGAATCTATCTTACAACTTTATAACTCTACCATTTGTCCATGCTTTGAATATTGCTGCCACATCTGGTTTGGTGCTTCTGCTATGTATCTAGAGAATCTTGATAAAATCCAAAGAAGAATCTGCAATGTTATTGATTCTGACCTGGCATCTTGGTTTCAGTCACTTTCCCACTGCCATAACATAGCTTCTCTGTACTTTTTCTATAAATATTTTCATGGTAACTATCCTCATAAGCTTTCCTCTTTGGTACCTCGACTTTACAAATTTTCAGTACTAGTTTGACAGCTAGGTCACATAATTTTACAGTTGAATTTGCTCGATGTAACCATAAGTTCTATACTAACCCTTTCTTCTCTGGCACTTTCCAGTTAACTTTGATCTTCAAAAATTTAAATACAACATCAATCATCTTCTGTCTCCTTGAATCCTATTCTTTTATTGCTCTCTCTCCTTAATAATGACTTTTATCAGATTCCTTCATTCTCCGTAATCACTTGTGTCTTAGTGGGTTTGTTATCTTGCTTAAAGTGAAATAATTAAAAAAGAAAATCTGTCATATTCTCAACATATTGCACCTTTAGATTACTATTTATTTCAGTCTTTACAGAATTTTATAAATGAAAGACATTTCAATTCCTAGAAGAGTGCAAATGGCAACTAAGGCAATTCTTGATAGATGGAATGATGAAGTCATTTGGTAGAAGATAGCGTGACTAAATACTAAGTATGTTATTTAATAGTTAAATGTTAAATTACTTTTTAAATTATCTTATTTTTACTGAATAAATCAAAGTTTTTCAGCCAAACCAATAATTATTGCAGTTAAATGAATAATGTATAAACTAAAAACAAGTTCCTCTAATAAATCATAAATTCTAAAAGCTGACTTAAACTTTCAGATTGTAAAAAACACCAATTTTCTTTATGTATGTTACAAAGTGATTAATTTTCATAAAAATTTGAAATTACAAGAGAAAAAGAATCCAAAGGTTAGCAATTGCTGTTATAAACTATTAGTTTCATATTTTAAATGTTTAATAAAATGTAAAAGCATTGGTAAATTTCAGTTAAAATAACAAGTAGTTTTAGAGTTGTTATCATTATATTAGAGAGACTGACAAAATAAATGATTGTATAGTCAACATATGTTTTTATGCTCATACTAAAACAAAGATTATATTTGGCACCAAATATTAAATGATTTTTTCCTTTCATAAATTCAAGAAATCTGGATGCAGACCATTTTCACATTTTCTTAGAAAATAGAAATATTAAAAAAATTCATTTTTAAGGAATATATATTTTTTTTTATTTCCTTTGTAGAAGACTACACATAGAACAATAGCATGTGTCTTTTAGCAATTTTTGCTTTTTTGTTAATTCTTACAGTTAATGTTTTAGTATTTATAAGTATGTAAGAGAATATAGATTTAAATAAAGAAAATTAACCATATTATTGCTTTGTTCATATTTGTGTTGAAATTTACAAGTTATTTCTATTCAAAACAGAAAATGTGTAGAATAGAATCTCTGCCACATGACAAAAACAATTTAAAAAGCAGAAACCTATCTTAATGCTATCAATTTAGAAGTTCAAAATATGCAATGAATGGCACTTATATTTAAAATGGTAAAATCATTTGGAGTAAATTTTAATGAAAACATCATCACATAACACTCATTTTAAATTGTCGTTTTTAATAATTATTTTCCAAACTCGAAAATTGTAATTAAAATTATAGAAAATATTTTGAGAATATGAAACATTTAAGAATCAATATTTATAAATATTTAAAGTTACCAAGTCTTTTTTACAAAATGAAGTAAAAAAATGAAATGCTATATGATTTTAAAAACTAAGATTCTAAAATGGAAAAATATTATTTCAAATATATATATATATATATATATATTTATTTATTTCATAACTGACAAGCTTCTGATGCCAGACCTGTTTCACAGAAAAAATGGCTAAACTGAAGAGAAAATATCAAACCTGCACTTTTTGTAGTAAAAAATCTTTTCCCCAGATCATAATATATTATTCTAACTTAAGAGAGTAAATTTAAGACAAGTTCAAAACTAAAGTTTTATACAATAAAGTGTTTTCTTGATAGATGAGTTTAATAATATTTTTTCAAAACAATATAATTACATCTTTTTTAGCTGCTACAACACAAAAATTCAAGTTTATTTCTCTATTTGTGCTGGTCAATTTTCACACAAAAGTATTTACCATCTAGCAAACTAAACATTTAACAAAAAAAATAAATAAAAAATAACCACAATAATGTCAGAAATAAAAATAAACAGATTTCCATTTTGAAGAAGTTTTCATCTTAATTACTTTTAAATCAAGATTCATTGATTGATTTGTTTTATTTTTTTTGTTTTTTTTTTTTATTACTTATCAACATTTTGCAGGTTATTTGAAGCCAGCAAATATTTTTGGATGGTAAGAAATTTTTTGAAAGATAATAATTTTCTGATACAAATCCTACAATTCATAGTTTGGACGAGAAGTAGATTCATCCTTTCCCAAGGTTATTTGTGCATAAATGAATATAATGAACCCAACTGGAATTGGAACTCAGTTCTGATTTCTCATTAGAAGCCCAAATCCATTACACCACTAGCAGTTCTAAGGTTACAGAATCTGGTATTCCCAATTGGTTACCCTAGGTAATGACCAAGATTGATGTTGCTTAATTTTGGAAATCAAATGGGAACCAGTATTTTCAGCATTAGTCTGTAAGCTTTTTAAATCAAGAATTAATCTTTAAAAACGATCACTTTACAATATTTAGTTATTGATTTACATTTCAAATGTGAGAAATTATTTTAATGCTTCAAATCATCAAAAAATATTTAATTCTAACGAGAATAAAAGCCTCAAGACATTGATGTGAAAAGAAACATTATTCTTTATTATGTCTTTTTGCATCATTTAATTTTTTTAAATATCAGCTCACCAATGACAAAATTTCTTTATAAATAACAGAGCAGAAATATTTTAAGATAACTCATTTTTTCTATTTCTTTTTCATTAAAGTAAATTCTTGAAACAAATTTCAAAAGAGAATCTAAGTTAACATTGAAATACACATATTGAAATTTTTACATTTTAATGTATATTATTCAAAAACTATCAATTCTTGATAGTTTTCTCTTAATTCTAAAATTAGTAATTATTATAAAAATAAAAAAATTTATAAGCAATCATTTATAATCATGTTTTTCATAAAGAGAATCATAATAGTTCATTTTCATATAAAAAAATAACTGGACAAGAGACAGTCAAAAAATAACGCTTGTTGTTCTTTAATTAAAATGGATTTAACAATAAATGTTCACAGATGTATATAAAAATCAATGGCAAAAGTTTCAAGATTCTAAATTTTGTCCTTAACATTGTCTCCTTCCTTCTCAGTTGTAGCATTTTAAATGATGGCATGTATACCTGCCTTATAGTAGTTGTTAGCCTACTTTCTTAATCATGATCAAGAATTGTACAATATGGATAGCACTTAGAGAACAGTGGTTCTCCAATAGTGAAAGGTAATTTCACTATTGGAGAACCACTGTTCTCTAAGTGCTATCCATATTGTACAATTCCTGAAGGTCTTGGAAACAACCACTTTCTACTCCTTTATTGTCAGCATTCTGGAAACCCACTGTATTTAACTAAGATTACATTAATTACATTAAACTGCAAGTACTACCATGGCTCACCTGAAGACTTTCACACAATTTTGCAATAATTATTCTACTGTTAGTTGTAATAAGAGCATAAGCTTATTTTACCTTATCCTCATTTACAGATCAACTGACTTGCCACTACTAGTCCTGTCACTAGAAATATCATTATTAACTCTACTGACCCATACTTACTGTGCTTATATCAAGTGCAGCCATTCCATAAACATTCAATAAGTTCCTACAAATGTTTGCAGCATTTACTCTTTCCAAAACCAGAAATTCTATAAAAGTTCTTTGCCTTCAACATATCTCCAGGAGGGTGGCCATTTTGAAAGAGGATTACGATTAGGAAAAGGAAGATAACTCCACTGGGTTTTAAATATTTTATGGTTTATAAAAAAAAAAACAGGAATTATGAATAATACTTTTAAATTTAAATTAGAACAGTCATTACTTTTTTACTAACACTAATACATAGAAATTTTGCAACATTCAGAGATTGAAATAAATTTTAAACTTTTATTCTTAATAACTTAAAACTTTACCCTATTACAATATAGCATATTAACTCCATAATGAAGATATTTTATTGTTACTTACTGTACAAATGACAAAAGTAGATCTCAGTTGTGTAAATAATTACAGTAATATACTGGAAAGAATAGATTTCATAAGTAGTTGAAAGTAAATTCCAAAAGATGTGTAGTAATTACTATTTACAATTTGAGTTACTTAAGTAACTGAAAAAAAGGACAAACAAAAAATATTCATACTTACTGACTGAATGAGTAAATCTGAACAATATTTCCAAATAAAATTTTGATTTGATCTTTGGAGATTTCATCGCATTTATCCAAATATTCAAGATAACCCTGTAAAAATAAAGAAATACTTAATAAAAGAATACAAAAGTAAAATCTGGTTTTGGTGAATATCTATGAATCATGTCCATTTTTGTTATTTTAATGCTTGATGATAAATATAAGGCATGTTTAGTGCAATTCCTTGGCTATTTACAATGGATTTCCTGAATGATGACAATGAAGGAGCAAAAAGTGATAAGTATGGTTCCTAAGTAATTTCTAAGTGCAGATTTAGGCAAAATAAGATGCAGTTGTTTAAATAATTATCATAATTCCTTAAGAATTTGGTGAATTTACTAATAGTGTGTATATATATATATATATATATATATATATATTTTTTGTTGGATTGATGTGAGTTTGTAACCTGGGTTTCACGCTTTTGCAATCGTCAGACAAATTTGGTTGACGATCGCAAAGCGTGAAACAGGGTTACAAACTCACATCAATTCAACCAAATATGTTAGCTCTATCTCTGATATTCAGCGCTTTTTAATAAGTACCGCACATATAATATATAAATAATTATATATATATATGTGTGTGTGTGTGTGTGTGTGTGTGTGTGGTATGGATTAGCTCCCCTTCCAACATATTCTGTATTTATCTAAGTCCAATAGGACATGCTTCATTCTAAACTGAATAAAGATTTAGTTAAGTTACACCTGCATTCGTTTTCTCACTACAATATGTGAATAAAGACAAAAGGAATACTTATCTTAGCCAACATGTTTTGTCCTCTGAGACTTTTATCAAGGCAAATGTAAGGATATACAAGACCAAAAATGTTATTGATTTTGCAAAAGTTTGAGGTACAGAAGTGCTCATAAATATTCATCAGGCTAACAGAAAATACAGGAAAGTTCATGGACATCATGTCATACAATTCAATGTCTAATAAATGAAAGTGAGTAGGTGATTCTTTTCAATATCTCCTTTCCTAAAAGAATTATTCTTTTCCCAAACCAAGATACATGACCACAAAAATATCTTAAAAAGATATAAATATTTATTGATTTTAAGCTATTAGTAAAACTAAAATCTACAAATCATAGCACCTAATTACAATGTAAATTTATTTTACTTATGTAAAAAAAAAAATGGAATGTGCAAGTTTCCACTCAGTTCTCAAACTTTCCATAAAAATTGCTAGTTTAAAGTCAGTTTTAGTTCAAAATAAAAATTTTATTTTTAATTTCTTTTTGAACATTGTTAATTCACCCATTTAATAATTATAATAAAAATTATGTAATATGAACACAAAATGAATTCACATTGTTGTTCTGCCAGACTCTCTTAAGATAATTTTTATTAATTTTTTAATTTATATAAAGGAAAAAAAAGCATTGCCTGCATTTAAAAACCTACAAAAAATATTACATAAGATTTTATGATAAGAATAATTCAAAATTTGAATTTTCAATTATTCTTAAGTAGTAATTAAAAATAAAATTTCATATAAGTAGTTTCAATCAGCACTAAATCCAAAGGATCATATAAGGGTGGTGGGAAGCATTTATGGTTCCTTTGGTGGGAATTATATAAAATTATAAAAAGTGATATTTTTTTCACTGGTGAGTGGAATTCTAGTAAAAATGAATATACCATCATGGCACTTTTAGCCAAGAAATATTTATCAGAATGTCCCTCTTCTGTTGAAGGTGAACAGTTATTTAGTATTGGAGGTTATATTTACTTACCAAAAAGAAAATGGCTGAAAAGCAAAACAGGAGAGATGAGAATGTTCTTACATTATAATTTAAGAATTTTAGGACTTAAATATGAGTAGCTAGGTACTTAAGTGATTTACATAAAGATATTGTTTAAACTCTTAACAAATTTTTTAAATAAAAAGGATATCTAACTTTACTTCATAAGCTTTTGAATTCATTTTTCTACTAAATGTTCTTTAAATAAATGTACTTTGTTCATTAAGTTTCCCAAACCAATTGTAGGGCCGAAAAATAATTAATTTTAATCATTGTAGGTACTGGAATTGAAAATTTTGAACAGTATCGAAAAATCATTATCAAAATCATTAAAATATTGTATTTTGGCAAGAATGGTTGGTTTGTTTATTTATTTGGATTAATTTATTTTGCTTGTTTTTTTTATTTATTTTTAGTTTATATATTTATTCTTTTTGGTTTTTGATGTTTTAGTAACTTAGTAAAAATTTTTTTGAGATTAGTTTTCATCATTCATTTAATAGTTTGGGAAAGTAATTAAAGTTATTTTTTTGTCCAATTTTTGGGTTGATTGTTGTAGTCTATTCTAACTGTTACTTTTGCGGGAGTGGTTTGTTAATTTGTTTATTATCTTATTTATTTATTTGGATTAATCTATTTTACTTGTTTTTTCTTATTTACTTTTTATTTTTATTTAGTCTAATGGTTTTTTGGCGGGTGCGGTTTGTTAATTTGCTTATTTATTTATTTGGATTAATTTATTTTACTTGTTTTTTCTTATTTATTTTATATATTTTTATTTATTCTTTTCAGTTTTTGATTTTTAAGTAACGTAGTAAAACTTTTTGAGATGAGTTCTGATCACTTATATAATTTCCCACAAGGAAATATAAGATTAAATCATGCTCATCCCCTTGATTCTCTGCTGCTTGCTCAGCTGCCATTGCCCATAGGAATCACTACTTCCTCCTGTACCATAGTGACATGACAGATTGCAACAGACATCTCTTTGTCTTAGCCCGTAATGAGTGTAAGTGTGTGCAAAATCACTATTTGCTGATAGACTGAAACAACATATTGCAGCTCACAAATTCTGCTCCAAAGATTATTGGCATCTCTGCAAGAGCATACTAAACAACAGCAAACACACAATACCTCCTTTGTTCAACCATTTTGAGGTCCTGACTTCCTCAGCTGGTAAGGCCGAGTGCTTTGCTAGTAAATTCTCATCCAATTAAATGCTCGACTTGTCCGGTGTACCCACATCCAATTTGCCCCTAGAACTGAGGCTCTGTTGAGCAATTTGCACTTAACTCCATCGTTGGTATTGGGCAACATCTCTAAATTAGTCTCCCATAAGGCTAGCAGTGAGGATGGGATACCAGCCATTATCGTGTTGAAATGTGCTCCTGAACTGGCTCCTGTCCTCTCCAAATTATACAACTACTGCCTCAGCGACTCCTGCTTTCCATCCTGTTGAAAAGTCTTCATCTGTTGTAACTGTCTCCAAGAACTCTGGCGACCCTTCTGACCCATCTAACTACCATCCTATCAGTCTCCTACCACTCTTCGGCAAAGTCTTTGAAGCTTAAATCAATGCTGGAGAGGTTAAGCACCTTACATCCCATGATTGGGTCTCTGACAAGCAATATGGTTTTCACTTTGCCCAATCTACAGCTGATGTGCTCACGGCCATAACTGAATTTGTTTACCAAGCACTTCACAATAACAGAGAAGCTCGTGCTGTGGCTCTTGATATCTCAAAAGCATTTGATAAGGTTTGGCATGCCGGCCTCCTTCGCAAGCTTCAGAGATACAGTATTTCAGGACAATTATTTGACAATACAATCATTCCTGTCAAACCATGTAATGAAGGTCGCTCTTAACAGATTCTCCTCCAGCTCCTTTCTCACAAACACAGGTGTTCCTCAAGGCTCTATCCTGGGCCCTACACTGTTCCTTATCTTCATTAACAATCTTCCCAATGTCAACAGTTTCCAAGTAGGCATCTATGCAGACGACACCACTATTTACTCCTCACTAAATAGCAAATCTGGTATCGCTGACGAAACTAACCTGGCTGTTGGTCTCAAAAAGAACTTCCAATCAGTTGTTGACTGGGGCAAGAAATGGCTGGTTAACTTTAATGCCTCAAAAACAAAACTGCTCTCTATTACCCACCACAGAGAACTCTCCCTGCCTCCCATTAGAATGTCTGATGCTCAACTCCACAAGAGCACCTCTTTGCAACTGCTTGGTCTCACACTGTCCACTAACCTGAGATGGAACAAATACATTGAATCAATAGCTTCATCTACTGCAAAAATTGTTGGTTCTCTGTGTTGCACCAGAAAGTTTTTCTCACCCAAGTCCATCCTTCAAATCTATAAATCAACCATTCGCCCTTGCATAGAATATTGCTGTCATATATGGACCCCCGCTTGTTCATCTTAGGGTCCTCAACAAAATCCAGAGACGGATATGCAATGTGGTTGGCCCTGATCTGGCATCTCATTTACAATCGCTCTCTCACAGATATGCTGTCACCTCCCTCTGTCTTTTCTGCAAATACTTTCATGGTAACTGCTATGACAAGCTATATTCGCTAGTTCCCAAACTGCATGAATTTAAATGTGCCACTAAGTCGGCATCTCAGTCCCACCCGTTCACTGTTGAAATGGTTAAATGTAGCCGTCTTTTTCTACTCCAAGAGCTTCATGTCTTGTATTTCCCGTCTATGGAACTCCTTTTTCTTACTTGCCTCCCTGATAGTTATAATCTCCAACTATTCAAATGCAATGTCAATCAGCATCACCAGATGCCTTGATCTATTCTCCATCCTTCTCTTCATTCATTCCTCTTGCTCCCACTTTCTGTAACCCCCTTGGGTGCTAGTGGCACTCCCAACTTGCTTTGGGTAAAAAGTTTTTATATATATATATATATATATATATATATATATATATATATATATAGTAAAGAAAGCTTGTAGTATGTAGATATAGTAGGCCAATTAAAGAAATTTGATAGGTAAAAAAATGATAAGACTATTAATATTTATTGTATAGGCTTTTTGTCCAAATGAAGCACATTGAGATAGATGTATTTCAGACACACATGTCCTTTCTCAATGAAAAATAAAAAAAAAATCAACTGTGACTGGTGTGGGTCGACATGTGTTATATTACTAATGAGACATAATAATTTAAGACTAGTTGTTTGCTATGATTAAGGTTGTGTAAGGCTTTTTGTAAAAACTGTATTCATTGAGTATGCCTAAATTCTTATTTAAACCTCGTATGTGTGAATTTATTGTAAAAATGTATTTTAACTCAGACTTTCAGTGTTCTTACTGGTATTTAAATGAACATTATCAATACTATTGTTTGGTTGATTGAAATGTGCAGCTCAGTTATCATTCTTTTCAGAATGACAATATCATTAATGGAATATAACCTAGTGAACTTATGATATCAAAACCAGACACACTTAAGAATAAATTCAATTTGAAAAGTACTAAGAAGTTATCACCCAAGATAATAAAATCCTACACTGTAATTCACATATAAAAAGTAAAGGGAATACACCACCTTCTTTGGAACGGGAATAAATAATAAAGAGAAACTAGTGAAAAGTGGATTTTGTGAGAGGATGAGTACAATATGGAAGCCAATATTCAGAAATATAAAATTAAAGAACAATATTGAAACATCACAAAGTATTATTGAAAAAAAAAAATTGATTTTTAAAAATTTCTATATATACAACCATAACAAACTCTCCCAAACGATCAATTATACAGAAGGAAAAAATTAGTGTATATCCTGCTATTTGCAGCTTATATAGCTATTTACTAACTTAATCTGATACAAGGCCAAATGAGAGGGAATGAAGATGAAAAGATTGTGTTGCACCAACCCTTCTTAATGGGAAGGGTTTGCTTACCTTGAAAATCAGAATTTGAATTTCTGGTCTTTACTAAA